CTGGTAGAATCCTTGAAAATGGTTCCAGACCAAGGTTTATAGACTTTTTACATTTTGTTAAAGAACGAGCAGTATTAGTTAACAACGAGTTTGGGGAAGACTTGTCGAATAGTTCCAGAGAGAAGAAATTTGATAGTTCGTATTTTAGAAAACCCAGACCGATGGCAACTCTTATGGCTACAACGAGTTCGAATGCAGCTTGTAAGATGAATTCAAGTCGTCCCAACATTTTAAGATCCGGTGCTGGAAATTTTAGATCACCATGTATTTACTGTGCAGGTAGGCATCCTATTTGGAAGTGCAGTCAGTTTATAGATCTTGACAATAGAGGTAAAGGTAAAGTTGTTGGTGACCTCCAGTTATGTTTTAAGTGTTTAAATAAAGGACATTCGATTAAATTTTGTGATAAGTCTGGATTTAGATGTCGGATTCCTAATTGTGAAAGGGATCACAATACTTTGTTGCATGATGTTAATTTGTTTAATTTGAGCCAATCCAGTTCCATTGAGAAGATAGAAGATTCCAAGAAGACCTCCAGTGTTGTTACTGCTGCTGCTGGGGCTGGTGAAAGGAAGGTTTGTCTTGGAGTTGTTCCAGTTATTGTTCAGAATAAAATCACCAAGAAAGAAGTCACTTCTTATGCTTTGCTGGATACTGGATCCGAAATCACTTTAGTCTTAAAGAAACTTGCTGCTCATCTTGATATTGGTGGTGAGATTGATCCATTTACTGTCACAGGTGTTACAGGATCTAAGGAAGTTGAAAGTGAATTAGTCGATATAGTCATCAAGTCTTCAGATGGAGATACATCGGTTGATTTCAGTGATGTTAGAACTGTACCATCATTACCAATTCCCACCACTACAATTCCAAGGATGGAAGATTTACAGAAATACTTACATTTGAAAGATATTGACTGTCCTGAAGTGCAGTTTCATGAGGTAACTGTTATTATTGGTGTTAAAGAACGGCCAAAACTTTTTATCCCTTTAGATTACAGAGAAGGTGGAGAAAATGAACCAGTTGCTATTAGGTATAGGTTAGGCTGGATTGTTATTGGGTCAGTTGATCAGCCACGAGATTTTAATGAGTTTTGTTTTAATTTTGTTAGCTCTGTTATTAGTCATGAAGAAACTGAAGTTAAAGATGATCTGAAGGAACAGTTGCAGAGATTGTGGAATACAGATTTCAAAGATCTAGAAGTTGAAAATAAACCAGGTTATTCAATTGAAGATAAAAAGGCTTTATGTATTATTGAGGATGGATTAAAGATTGTTGATGGTCATTTTCAAATTCCATTACCATGGAAGAGAATTCCTCCTAATCTAATTAATAATAGAGCTATGGCTTTGAACAGATTAGATGGATTATCTAAGAGGTTTAGAAGGAATCCTGATCTGTTCTTTAAGTACCAGACCACAATTAATGATTATATTTCTAAGGGCCATGCTGAGAAGATTCCAGAGGTGGAAATTGATTTAAATGAAAGACCCATTTGGTATTTACCACACCATCCAGTAACCCATCCATTAAAGCCAGATAAAGTTAGAGTAGTCTTCGACTGTGCAGCTCAATACCATGGAACATCGCTTAACAGTCAGTTATTACAAGGCCCAGACTTAGCTAATCACTTGTTAGGAGTCTTATTTCGGTTCAGACAGGGAGAGATTGGGTTTATAGCTGATATTGAGGCTCATTTTCACCAAGTTAGAGTTGAACCAAAGGATTGTGATGTATTGCGATTCCTATGGTGGAGGAATGACGACATTAATGACGTTGTGGAAGATTATCGGATGACCAAACACATATTTGGCGCCACATCTTCACCTGCTGTTGCTAACTACTGTGTCAAGAAATGTGCTGAGCTTTACGGTGGCGACTTCGATCCTGAAACTGTGAAGACCATTATGAAGAATATGTATGTAGATGACCTGATGAAGTCAGTTGATTCTTTAAATTTATCAGTTAAATTGTTCCACGAGTTGTCAAAGTTGTTATTTACTTGTGGTTTTAGGTTGACTAAGTGGTGTTGTAACGATCGCAAGTTTTTGGAGAACGTTCCAGAAAAAGATAGAGCCAAGTCTATTGTTGATTTGGATAACCTTTTGCCCACTCAGAGTGCTTTGGGATTGAGATGGGATACCGAATCAGATGTCTTTTCATGGGAGGTCAATGAGAAGTTGTTGTATTCGTTTGAGAAGGTTACAACAAGAAGAAGTATTTTGTCAATTGTTTATTCATTATTTGATCCCATTGGGTTTATCGCTCCATACATTATGAAGGCGAAGTTGTTGTTACAAATGTTGAGTAGGAGAAATCTAGGTTGGGATGATCCTGTTTCTTTGGAAGATAAGCTTCAATGGTACAGATGGTTAGAGGATTTAGATAGGTTGTCTGAAAATAAGGTTGATAGGTGTTTGAAACCTAAGGTATTTGGTGTTATTGGAGAGGTCCAGTTACATATATTTTGCGATGGTTCTAGAGTTGGTTATTCTGCTGTTGCATATTTGAGATTCATAAATTCCAGTGGAGAGGTTCATTGTTCTTTTGTATTTGGGAAATGCAGGTTGGCTCCTATTCGTGAGGTGTCTATTCCAAGGCTGGAATTATCGGCTGCGGTTGTTGCCGTGAAGATGAGAAGAGTAATAGAGGAAGAATTGGAGTTTGTTATAGAGAAGACTGTATTTTGGACAGATTCGTTGTCAGTTTTAAAGTGTATTAATAATGATAGTAAAGGGTTTCATACGTTTGAATCGAATAGATTAACAGCTATTCATCTTGGATTAACGATTGCAGAATGGCGTTATGTAAATCGGGATTTGAATCCTGCTGATGATGGTTCCAAGGGATTAAAGTTAAAGACCATGGTGAAGGACAATAGATGGATTAGTGGTCCAGAATTCCTGAGGGGGAATGAAAGTTGCTGGCCTTCTCCCATTGTTATTCCAGAATTAAAGGATGACGACCCTGAAGTTCGAAAAGAAGCTAAAATTTATACTGCGTCAGTTGACAAGGAAGTTATTGATGATTTGATTTTGAGGTATTCCTCCTGGTGGAGATTAAAGAGAGGAGTTGTTTGGATCTTAAGATTTAAAAGATATTTAAAGTTAAAGGCTTTAGGACAGGGGTGTCCTAATAAGTTTGAGAGGTTTTTGACGATTAAAGAGATCAAAGAAGCTTTAAGGCCAGTGTATTTAAAGATGGTTCTATTATTCTAACTCGCCCAATTACTAAAATTTGTCTTTTAGAATTACACACAGACTGATTGGCTTATGTTTGTTTTATCTCTATATATATGGTAATTAGAAATGTTTGTTTAATTGACCTGTTGTATTGTTACGGTAGCCATTTGTTTAATTTTGTACATAAAAGTCTTGTTATAGCTTTTATGTAGGGGCTGGTGTGGCTACCTTTTTACTTTCAAATATGGGCATTATTATTATTATTATGAATCCCGTGTAAGGTTACCTCATCCTTTAATTAGAGCCTGGGCTGTGCAAGTCTACGTTTGGTTGCTAGGACACCGTTTCCGCTGGGAAAAAAGATGGCCATGCGGTTGACAGTTCGAGGCAGAATTTGACTTTGTTTTGATATGGATCGCTAGGTAGCGGTTGAATCTTTTGATATGTATTATAATTGTATACATCGATAGTTCCTAAACTAATCACAACCGATGTCACGATGTCACGATGTCACGATGTCATGATGTTTATATCGGTCCATGTTGATGTCATTTGACGATGTCTTGCCAGTATTGATGTAATGTTGATGTCATGATTGTGATGATGTACATTGCCGCACTGTTCATGGATAATAAACTTGTTTGATTAACTCTATCGTAGTGTGCCGATATATATATAAGCACATTGAATAAGCACAAATGGATTGATTGGTTTCATCTATTAAATCAAAAATAATGGCATTATTTCATCCGAGAAGATTAATTAAACAAGATTTAACTTGCCTACTTGGAATGAACAAGCTGGAGACTTAGCTTGGGAATTAGAATAGTCTCGCATTATATTATATCAGTAAAAATGAGTTAATTCGCGGAATACTTGCCAAAAATGTGATGGTTGGTATCTTGCAACAACGAGTTATCTCCTTTGTTATCAACTACTACAAATATTAAAGCCTCTGATTCTGATTAAAGCAATATCTGGAGCCCTTACAAACTACCATATTTAAATTTCTAATAGGAATACCAGTTCAAAAATGGATCAATTCCATTCAGTATTAACAGAGATATGATGAAGCGAAATTCCATCGATCGGTAATATTGGGTTTCATATGCTTGGTTGATCTGCTGAGTGATACTATTAATAGACATTCCAGTTGACCGTGCAATTTTTGCCAAATTCGGGAAATGAACTCATTGATATTGAAATAATCTATGTATTATGTCTGTTTTTAATGATTATCAGGTAGAATGAGGAGGTAGTTGTTAGTATTGGGTTGTGTTGTGTTGAGTAAATCGTCCTGCAGGCCGCACATTTATGACATCATAATCATTTCATACATACAATAGCCATGTCCATGAATAGTTTACAGCTGAATTATTTTTTTCCTATAATACTTCCCTATGATTGTCAACAACCTGTAAATGTAGACCAAATGTAGGGTGATCCATGGAGAAATACCTGTTGAGTGTTCCTTCAGTAAATGTGATCCCCTTGAGAACAAAAATGACACTGATCAAATTTTCTTTATGAACTTCACATAAATCATGGACTAGCTTTTAACATTCAGAGATAATAGAGATGCCGCCATCATAAAAGTAGCACACACATGAAAAGTTCTGTATTCTATGAAATTTTGTATCTACTACACTGAATATAGTAAAACACTTTGCTTGATCACAATGTGTATGAAATACAAGCCTAGTCCAATTTCAGACATGTAGCTAAAATGTCTGACATGATTTACCCCAATCCACCAGTATTTCAAGCAATCTTACTAGATGAATGACCAAACTACAGATATATTCATTTTATTTTCAGAAATGGCTGACGGATATAAGCCCTCCACCATCTATAAACAAGTTCCACAAAGGAAATAGTTTGATCAGTACTAGTCATGGTGCATCCTTCAAGGTTCAGGAAAATGTTAGGTATGTAGTTTATTGGAAACTTAGTTAGACAACTAATCAGACCTTCACATGACAAATAGAACTAAAACATTACTTTAAAGTAGCTAAGTCCGTAACTCAATATCATCCAAAATCTTCGATATTTAATACACAAATTTTTTTGCAATTTAAATCAGCATTGGTGTTGTGATCTTACCTGGAAAAGATGGGCTTCTCATATCCAATATTTAAGACAAAATAAACATTTTACCATTGGTACACGAATCGTGTACCATAATGCGTTTCAGCGCCATTTGTAACAAGGTGCTCAAAGAATGAGGCTAGCCATATTCCACAAGTCATGTCAAACGGTGATATCATGTTCTTATTTGGAGAGCATGCGCAATAAATAATATCGGTGTTGACTGGAATAACCAGACGCTAGAAACTGACTTGCGGTTGAGACTTCTGGCGTATTTCGCCGAACATAACTAATGACAATTCACAGTAAAACGGACACGCTTGAATGTAAAACAGTTTATATAAATTCATATTGCATTATTATATCTGTTGCGACCCATTTGTGCCAATTTCTAGGTCCAATTATTAGCGATTTAGCTCCTTTAATAAAGCACAATAAAAAATGGAAAATGACAAAACCCTCTGCAAAGAAATGAAATTTTGTTTACTTTCTTAATTTTTTGCACCAACTGGGCTACTGAAGATGGGCATAAGCCAATGCAGTGTGCTATAAAGGAAATTATGCCAGGACAGGACAACAGTGTTTCGGGGTACTGTTCATCAATTTCCAACATCCAATGGTTCTTTTTCATTTCATCCTAACAAATAGGTACTCGTACTTGATGCAGTCCTGCTCAAACAGTGCTGGATTGACTGATGATTTCCTATACCAAATTTTGATTTGGCAATAGTCGGGATAACAACCAATCAGTTACAGCGTAAAAATCAATCAGGATTACGGAGGTCTAAATATGTTACTGTAAAGTGTATAATTAATAACAATAGCAGTATCATTACGTCTGTACAACCCTCAAACTTTATTACAGAGAATAGCTGCAAACGTAAACATTGGGTAATCGCCAAAAAATACTTTCTAATTTGCCCCTTAGTCGAGAATATTGTACCTTAAAAACTTGTTTTTAATTTACCTTTAATTCTTTTTTTGCAGTAAAAATAATAATTATGAAGAAGAGTTATTATATGTTGCATGTTATAGTGGGCTGTCTCCCCCCAAAGTACCTGTCTCAAATGAATCAGGAAAGGCACGAAAACCAGAAATATCTACTCCTCCGCCAAAACCTAAGCCCGAAATTGTTGATAAATTCACTCCTGTATCACCAGAATATAACAGTTCCAGTAAATTGATCAAAGAATATGAACAAGCCTATGAGAAAAAGAAAGAGGTAACACTAAATGGAAACATTCTTAAATAATAAATAATATGCATTTTACCATAAATTTTAGGCTGTGTAAAGCAGTGATGGGATTTCAAAATTTTTCTTTCGGACATTTTTTTCCCGAAAATAAAGGGGTATAACTGTTATCGTTATTTAAGCAGACGTTATCAAACCACAATTAAGAATCACGTATCAACAAAATATTCAAATTTATACGTAACAAAAAAATATCTTCACCTCGTTATTTTTCATTCTTACAAAATTACATGACATCGTAATACCATAGAATGAAAGTGTGACGACTACTGTCGATCGGTACCTGTTTCAAATTCCCCCCCCCCTCCAAATTACCGTATTTTTCGGGTCATATTTCGATACATTTTTCAGCAAAGACCGGCATTCATCTGATACTCCGTTTCGATTTAGATATGAAAGGAAAAATATGACATCCCGAAATTTACTTCGTAGTAAACGTTGCTCAAAAACGAGCGAGTGACACCAACTGCAGCTAAATAATCGCATTCGACTAGAGCACGTGCTATCGTCTAAAACAATTAACTAACCTTATTCCAATCGACATAGTCGTCAACATTTCTTAGCGTGTTTATTTATTTATTTAAAAACATAAACCCCACTCAAAATATGATCATAAATCCGACAATATGCCATCAAAATAGAATCTTTTCTCTCACATCAGGCGTATTAGATTTGGCACGTTTAAATCTCTTAATTTCACGTGTCTCGTGAGATGACTACTTTCATTTTGAGTTACTTTACTAAAACAATTAACTAACCTTATTCCAATCGACCTAGTCGTCAACATTTCTTAACGAGTTTATTTATTTATTTAAAAACATAAACCCCACGTATTAGATTCGGCACGTTTAAATCTCTTAATTTCACGTGTATCGCGAGATGACTACTTTCATTTTGAGTTACTTTACTTGAACCGCCATGCGTGTGTGTGTGAAATAGCTTTATTTAACTTTGGCTTCCACCGAAGGAATATCACAGACAAGTTATCGGATACAATGTATATTGAATCGAAGCATGTTGAAAGTTATAATGACTGTCTTTTGATGTCTATTACAATATGTGACATCTATAGTTTATACATATTGTCGGCTCACATCAATGCGATTAAAATGTCCGACAATGCAGAAACCACGGGGTTAACACGAGGATTAAAATTATAATCACAGTTATTGGATTGATGAATATTCCGACAAAGGGGAAACAATGACTTCTGTTTACGACTAGATTGATGAACTGTCCGACAAAGGATTAAGTCAGTCAATCAAGGCAGATTAAGTAGTTAATCAAGGTAGGTTATTTATAGACGGTATAAAACGATAAATACGTTAATCACTTAATTACCTAATCAATCCAGCGTATTATCGACGATAATCGTGTTAAGTGGTAGTTATACAATCAGTAAACTATTAATTTCAGAATTTTGAATATTATTCACCATGTCTTGATGTCCGATTGGGCATATTCCCGGTCGGACAATTTTGGGCGTTTGGAAAAAATCCCATCACTGGTGTAAAGAAATATTCAGAAACTGCCTTGTCACTTATAAGGGCTGCATGAACTGTTTTTATGGTTAATTAGTTAATTACAATCATTAATTTCCCATTGCCATTACTAGGGGTGATGATTTTCTGCATTTAAGCATTTTGAATTCCGTTATTTTCCATTTCATTGTGGACCATATTTTATGAATAAATTAATAAAACATCGTAAAATGCCTTATAGCCTATTACAAAACTGATCATTTTAAACCAATGATAACAAAAATATTAAATAGCGAATGACTTTTAATGTTTTATTCTTCAAACTTGTTTCCTGAATTAAAAAACAGACAATTACACCATGGACCTTATAATACACAAGGTCCATGATTACACCTTGTGGGCTCGTTTCATTTTATTAACAGAGGAACGAAGCCATTATTTTTCTCGGCTGCTGGTTGTAAACACGATTTATCCAGATAAACTTCATAGTTACGGTACTAATTATTATTTACAGTATGTATAAACAGATGTAGAACCTTAATGTGATGTTTGTGAGACGTCATTTAGCCCAGTGATCCTTTAACAAAATATAAACAATGAAATAAAAACCTTCCCTCCTGCATCAGATTTTTTTTAATGTGCTGAGCTATAGTGGGTTGGTGTAACAAAAGCATGGTTTATTTTCAGATAGGTGTTTAATTTAAGCAAAATAACGCAAATTAAATTTAGTATAAAAGAAATATATTTTTTATTTAACAATAGGCAGCAATTGCAAAGAAACGCCAGGAATTTGACCAAAATATGGCCAAGTTAACTCAACTATCTAAAGAACAATTAATGATTCGGGAAAAACAACAAAATGACCAACTGAAGTCCTTACATCAACAAACAGAAAAACATCTAAAAGAGTAAGTAAAATCTGAAAGTATGGTATTTTATGACCATGCAGATGACTGAGTGAGTGTAGTATTTATTAGTATTGATTGATATTAAAATAAGTTCAGAATATCTATTGTATGACTATTATGAATGGTTGATTGTAAATCTTTTTTGGGAGATAGGCTTCATGTGCAGTTTTTCGAATATATCGAATTTTCCACAGCTTAATCTATGCTGAAATGTAATCAAATTGATTATTTAACATTTAATTAAGAAAAGAAATTCAAAAAATGATAGATAATCTCCCTGTTTGGATTTGGTGAAATTAAAGAGAATACCCATCAAAAGATTTTGGTGTGTTTTACCATATTATGTTTATATCGTCTGCAGAGGATGCCAAATGTTAACAAATTTTCAAATGAATATATCCCTGTAAATACTGAATGGAATTAAACCATATATGCATTGATATTCCTTAAATTGTTTCAATGACGTTTAGTAATTGAAGTAGAAATACACAGGTCACAATTCTGTAAAATACCAACACTGCTTATTCCAGAGAATCATTATTATTATTATTATTATTACAGCATATTTATAGTGCGCCCTTTCATATAATATGTTCAGGGGCACTTTACATTCAGAATATTGTAGTTTGCAAGGGATTTCTCAATGACTCACATCTTGCAATTCTCAATGCAACAACAGCAGAACATGACGATAAAGATGTGATAATGATAGTTCACACATTACAAATCAATTTTCTCAAACACAAGTTAAATTCGACTTTATGGGAATACTGGGTATAAAATGTGGTGTGCCAGAAGGCCTTATGTTGTTATGGCCTACATGGTTTGGTTGATTTTCTTGTGTCAGAAAATGTCCAGCCTACAATTATGTCAAAGATCACATTTGAGCATGTTTTCATTGTGTCTTAGTATACAATTAAATGATCAGATCCCAGGGATGCAGATGAATCATTTTTGAAAAAATGAAATAAAGATACAGCTTTAATTAGATTAAGTTAAGCCAAAAAGTATGTGTACTTTCTTTGTAGGAAAGATGAATCAGAAAAACAAGTTCAAGTGATGAAAGAGAGCCATAGACAACATCAACAGGTAATAAATATATCAATACATTATGTAGTATATAGCAACGGCTTTCCAGGTTATTATACGAAATAAAAATCCTAAGGCCAAAACTTGCAGGTTTTATTTTAAATAACAACCAAACTACATGTATAAAGATTAACGCCAAGTATCAACCATTGTGTACCATGTGCATGTGAAATTCAAAGCATGTGGCTGTTGGAAGTTAATATTACATCCCTTTCAACCCCTAATGACTTAACAGAAAGTTGAATAGCCACCTTAAGACATCAATAGTTGACCTGCTCTGAAATATATAATCTTGATGTGTGTAAGAAAAGATATTGCAGTGAAACATTTAAAATTTTCTCCGTAATGTTTTTTTCTGTGATGTTTTAAATTATAAATTATCCCAAATTTTATCAGATGCTTGATGCTAAAGTTCTAGAAGTAGAAAAAAGAAAGCAACAATTGAAAGATGAAGCTAGAAAAAGGTAAAATATCTTCTGAAAATGCATTCTGGAACTGTAAACATAGTGAAGTGAATCAATTTGATTTTCTGATGATGTTGGTTATATTTTGTATTTTTGCCCTATAGAATAAATACTAGTTAAACAATGTCTTCTATGTCCCTAGACAATGACACCCTATTTCCTTTGAACAGAATTAAGTGATCTGTTAACACGACAGAACTAATTTATATTCTCCCACAATTTCATGAGGATGTATATTGTCATCACTTCTGCCTATTGATCCCGTTGAAAATTAAGTTACTTTTTTTTATTTTCTGATATTTTATAATGATTATTTTTATATGCCCACATGGAAATGTGAATGATATTGCCGTCGCCCCGTCCTTCTTTCCGCCCATCCATCCGTTGTCCACCATTTCTTGTGATCACTCTTATATGAAATTTACATGAGTCATTTAAATTAGTAAAAAGTAGAATTGTATTGAATTTCAACAATTTCCATTTACTACGTCTAAAGTTATGACCCTTATTTCTCTTTGTTGAACCTTGTGAATGCCAAAAGTTATCATTATTATGCATCATTTAGATTAGGGAATTTCAGCAATTTACAATGATTACTTCTGGAGTTATGGCCCTTGTTTCAGTTTGTTGAACCTTGTGAATGCTCTAATGCCAAAAGTTATCATCCGATCTTTGTGAAATCTATATGCATTGTTTAAATTAGTGAAACCTATTGAATTTCCATTTATTACTTCTAGAGCTATGGCCCTTGTTTCACTGTGTTGAACTGTGTGAATGTGCTAACGGCAAAAGTTATCATCCAATCTGTATGAAATTTATATGCATCATTTAGATTTAATAAAGGAACGACAAAGCCAATTTAATTTCAGTAATTTACAATTATGACTTCTAGAGATATGGCGCTTGTTTCACTTTGTTCAACCTTGTTAATGCTCAATTGATGAAAGTTTATATGCATCATTTAAATTTGTGAAATGGAGGTCTATTGAAATCAGCAATTTCTGTCAATTACTTCTATAGTTACTGCCCTTGTTTTGCTTTGAGAACCTTGTGAATATTCGAATGACGAAAGTTATGATCCATTTTTTATGAAATTTATATGCATTATTTAAATTAGTAAACCGAAAAAGCCATCAAATTACTTCCAGAGATAAGGCCCTATTTTCGGTTTGTAGAACTTTGTTAGCCCTCAAATGACTAAAATTATAATCTGATCTGTATTAAATTGTCTTGCAAAAGCCCCCAATTACCTACAAAAGAATAAATATGAAACTTGTCGGCCGATTTAACTGCTGTGGACGTATGTTTCATTGCCTGGCAACCTATCTTCTTTGTTTTGTAGACAAGAACAAATTCAAGCAATGGCACAGAAGATTCATGCATCTATAAATATTTTAATTAGTCAATTTATAACCGAGTTTGAGGGATGTCCACATAAAGAGTATTTTTCTGAAGACGCTAAAGCAACCTACACTCAGATAAGATCTATAAAAACAAAAGTGGATACTCTTTTAGAATCATTTAAAGCCGCCATGTCCAAACAGGAAGATTTGAAGAAATTGATGGAACTATTTGAGATGTGTAAGCGTGGCCTAGAATCTGTAAAGACACACATAGGTTAGTAATTGAGTATTTTACATATTGTCAGTGATTTTGATTCTGCAGAACACTTGATAAAACTTGTAATGTTAGAAAATGGGAACCACATAGATATGTAACTGATGAGGAACCCGGCCAAACCAGGTCTGATATTATTGTTTTAATTGAATTTATGTGGTTTTTGTAAAACTACAATCTGGAATAAAACAAGTACATTCTCAGAAATTGTTGTCCAACTTCTTGCCATTGTCTCTTACCATTTCATATGTAATAAAATATGCTTTTTTAATAGCTGATGCTAATAAAAAAGGAAAAGAAGTCGAAGAACAGAAAGCTTTGGCAGCTAAAGCAGCTCAATTGGCTCAGGTAGGTGTTTGTATTATTTGTATTGTAAGAAGTATATAAATGTTGTGATAAATGTTATTTTATTTTCTATTCAAGTTGGTCTATTGCTAAATTTCTTACAAATCATCCTAAGACTCCAACTCTGTATAAAGATTGCTCCAATTTATAACTGTCACACAACTGGTCTTTAACAGTGAGACTTCACTGTACACTGTTTCTTTTATATCTGTCCTTTGAAAATTGATATTTGTTACTTCTTTCTTAAGCGGACAACGATATTAACACATTGGCTTTTTTTTTTTATCAGGAACAACAACAAGCCCTACCACCAGCTCAAACTGATGCTATTAGTACACCAACTAAATCCAGTAATACATCCACTAATATCAAAACTTGTAAGTAACCAAAGTTATTATAAATCCAATGCTAAGGGTGTGGCCAAGCGTTTATAAGCGGTTTGTTTTAGCCATGTTCCAGGAGATTAGGATTTCTTCAGTTTTTTCCCTGAACTGATCATTTTATTGTGGTAAAAATTTTATATCGATTTACCAGAGTTTACCCTATTCAATAAAAAAAGACACATATATCATAATTGACCTCTTTTAGTTTTCGACTATCTGTACTTTCATTATCGTGGTTATATTCCATCAAACAAATTCCGACAACGGTCAAAAATATATGTTGATGGCAAATGGCTTCCGCGCTACCTTCAATATAAACAGTTTATTTATGGTAACAAAACACATGCTTTATTATGATAAGCAAGTATTTTTCCCGAATAATCTAAAGATAATGAATTATTTTCATTAAAAAAAAGAAAAAAAGTTGAGAATCCAGTTTTTGGTTGTTCATTTGAAATCAACAAGCAAAAATCAACAAGCAATATTTTGCTTGTGTGTTTTCAAATGAAATTCTATCCGTGGCCACAAGTATTTTCAGTATAAATATTCATAAAGAAAAACTGTTTCTTAGAAATCCCCACCGTTCATTTTCAATATTGATTATTATTTCAGCTGAAGATGTGATGGTTGATGCTTTAGAGGAATATTCTAAGTTACAGGGGAACCTATCTTCTTTGTTTTGTAAACTAGAACAAATTCAAGCAATGGCACAGAAGATTCATGCATCTATAAATATTTTAATTAGTCAATTTATAACCGAGTTTGAGGGATGTCCACATAAAGAGTATTTTTCTGAAGACGCTAAAGCAACCTACACTCAGATAAGATCTATAAAAACAAAAGTGGATACTCTTTTAGAATCATTTAAAGCTGCCATTTCCAAACAGGAAGATTTGAAGAAATTGATGGAACTATTTGAGATATGTAAGCGTGGCCTAGAATCTGTAAAGACACACATAGGTTAGTAATTGAGTATTTTACATATTGTCAATGATTTTGATTCTGCAGAACACTTGATAAAACTTGTAATGTTAGAAAATGGGAACCACATAGATATGTAACTGATGAGGAACCCGGCCAAACCAGGTCTGATATTATTGTTTTAATTGAATTTATGTGGTTTTTGTAAAACTACAATCTGGAATAAAACAAGTACATTCTCAGAAATTGTTGTCCAACTTCTTGCCATTGTCTCTTACCATTTCATATGTAATAAAATATGCTTTTTTAATAGCTGATGCTAATAAAAAAGGAAAAGAAGTCGAAGAACAGAAAGCTTTGGCAGCTAAAGCAGCTCAATTGGCTCAGGTAGGTGTTTGTATTATTTGTATTGTAAGAAGCATATAAATGTTGTGATAAATGTTATTTTATTTTCTATTCAAGTTGGTCTATTGCTAAATTTCTTACAAATCATCCTAAGACTCCAACTCTGTATAAAGATTGCTCCAATTTATAACTGTCACACAACTGGTCTTTAACAGTGAGACTTCACTGTACACTGTTTCTTTTATATCTGTCCTTTGAAAATTGATATTTGTTACTTCTTTCTTAAGCGGACAACGATATTAACACATTGGCTTTTTTTTTTATCAGGAACAACAACAAGCCCTACCACCAGCTCAAACTGATGCTATTAGTACACCAACTAAATCCAGTAATACATCCACTAATATCAAAACTTGTAAGTAACCAAAGTTATTATAAATCCAATGCTAAGGGTGTGGCCAAGCGTTTATAAGCGGTTTGTTTTAGCCATGTTCCAGGAGATTAGGATTTCTTCAGTTTTTTCCCTGAACTGATCATTTTATTGTGGTAAAAATTTTATATCGATTTACCAGAGTTTACCCTATTCAATAAAAAAAGACACATATATCATAATTGACCTCTTTTAGTTTTCGACTATCTGTACTTTCATTATCGTGGTTATATTCCATCAAACAAATTCCGACAACGGTCAAAAATATATGTTGATGGCAAATGGCTTTCGCGCTACCTTCAAGAAGGTTAATGTCATTTATTACCATACATTGTCAATATAAACAGTTTATTTATGGTAACAAAACACATGCTTTATTATGATAAGCAAGTATTTTTCCCGAATAATCTAAAGATAATGAATTATTTTCATTAAAAAAAAGAAAAAAAGTTGAGAATCCAGTTTTTGGTTGTTCATTTGAAATCAACAAGCAAAAATCAACAAGCAATATTTTGCTTGTGTGTTTTCAAATGAAATTCTATCCGTGGCCACAAGTATTTTCAGTATAAATATTCATAAAGAAAAACTGTTTCTTAGAAATCCCCACCGTTCATTTTCAATATTGATTATTATTTCAGCTGAAGATGTGATGGTTGATGCTTTAGAGGAATATTCTAAGTTACAGGGGAAATTACAAAAAATAACTGAATCATTAAATGCTTTTGTCAATAATCCACAGGTAAGAGTGTTTTTAAATCTACAACAAAGTATGTTATAAGCTTGTGTTTATTTGTGAACTGGCATTAAAGCTGTTGTAATTTATAATTAGTGATAAATGTATTAATGGTAGCAGAATAACAATCAGAATAAAATTAGACCCTTTTTTTCATTAGGTTTATTTTTCTTTTCATTGTTGTTAGTAACTTTCAAAAGTTTGAACAAAATCTGCAGTAAGCTCTAAGAAAATGTTATGGAGCACATGTTCTGTTTGATTTTAACCATGAAAATTGAGGCATATCGTAAAAAACGTTGATGTCATAAATGAAATAATAATAAAAAAAAAGGTTCACATGGTCAAAATACAAATGGTGTAGGTGTGTGTTGTCATATATATGTAGGTGAACAGAAATCTGAATTAGGTTGTGCTGAATATCATTAACTAAAAAGAAATAGGATGCCCATAATAATAACAATGTGCATATTTAGAATACGTTTTATCCACAAAGGTTGTGCTCAAAGCATGATACAATTACTGTAACACTGTCTAGGATATAGGTAAAGCCTGATTACCTCCCTGTACCTCTGAATTATGTAAATTTTATATAAAGAGCCCCCACATATCCTGCCTAAAGAGCACAACTTATATTTTGCGTAATTGCATGCATCCTCTTACAGTTGGGTATACTGGAATATAGGGATAAACTGGCTTATTCATGGACACAAGAACTTTACACACAATCTGGGTCTTGAACCTGCAACAGATTGGTCACGAATCTGCTCTTTAACAGATTTGCCAAATCCCTCTGATACGATGATCACTTTAATAATTTAATATCTGGTTGATACTGGAATTCAAACACATCTTGAAATCCAGCACATTGCATCAGAAAGATGGTTTTAAAATTTTATACTGTTACATTTGATTACATTTTTTTAACATTTCAGATGAAGAAATATAAGTTTGAACTACAGAAGGCTGTTAATACACCTATTAATGCTATATCTCCTGAGAGTAGTTCACATTTACAAGATAAATTACATCGACTAACCTCTCTCATGTCTGGGCAAGTGGTTGAACTTTCTGGCAAAAGAATAAGTGCTAAAGAAGCTCCGGAAGGAATACTGTTTTGTAAAAATTTAGCAGCTAAAATGATAGTGGTATGAATATTTACTGGAATTTTTTTTTTTCGTTCAGAAAATATCGATGGTTGAACGTATATTTAAATTTGACCTTGTCATAAAAAAAAAAACCCCTTCTGGAATTTAAGGATTTGATAATTTTTTGCATAATACTAGGTTCTCATTTAAGGAGAGTGGAAATGAAAATAAAAAAAGAGCATAATATTGTACAGAACAATGCATAACTCCATTTGTTTTTTTATGCCCACATTTTCATGTGAACTTATTATGCCATCGCCCCTGTCCATCCGCGTGTCCGCTCACACTTTGTTTGTGGACACTCTATAGGTCACAATTTTTATCCAGTATTGACAAAACTTGAATTATAGGTTTATAATATATCCCAAAGATCTCAGTTCTTTTTGATATAGGCCCCGGATTGTACAAAAAATCATGTTTTTAGCTTGTGGATGTTTATAACTCAAAGATCTTGGTCTCGTTCAATATTGGCGCATGTCGGACCTTAACTTCCAGGATTATACAAAAAAATCATGTTTTTAGCTTGTGACCCTCTAGTGGTTACAATTTTTATTTGATTTTAAAAATTGATCAAATATTACATTGTTACAGCACATTGACGGTTAGTGTAAAAGCATGTAATACTTAAAATATATGTTTTATGCCCCGAAGATTTTGGTTCCTTTGGATATTGGCACGGATTATGGCCCCTGATTATACGAAAAATCAAGTTTTTAGCTTGTGGACCATCTAGAGGTCACAATTTTTATCAGAATTTTATGAAACTTGGTTTCAAAAATTGTTCCTGGATTATGGCCACTGATATTTTTTAGCCTGTTCTCTGTCCATTTGTTGCAAAATGTGGGCGTATCTTGCATGGCAACTGCTTGTTATGTAATGTATATAAATACATTTGTGATATTAATTTTGTCTCCTTTACATCTCATTGTCTTTGGTACAATATAGCTGATGTGCTATAAAACTACATTACATTCATTTTTATATGCCCACATTTAAATGTGAAGGTATATTGTCGTCGCCAATGTCTGTCCGTCCGTCGTTTCGGCAATCACAATTGGTTGTGAAAGCTGTGAACGCAAATGTACAGGTCAAAACAATGAGCCTTTTCATTTGTGTTGAGTGGACGTTAAACCCCATTTCTCTCCCTCTTCCTTTCTAAATTTAAAGTCAATTTCAATGTGAGCATATATTATTATTGCCCCGCATCTGTTCGGCGTGCACTTGCTTGTGGACGCTCTAGAGGCTACATTTCGCTGAAGAATGGATACTCCAAATTGTTACAGATTTTAATTTAATTGGAACATAGTAAAATAAAATACTGGTCTGTGATGAACGTAATGAAATTTATTTTCTCTTTATAGAAAAAAGGGGCTGAACAGGTATCATCTAAACATGAAACAGCATTTGCTATAGCTGCTGTAACAGTTGGCCTATGGTGTCATGATGCAGATATTGGTGATTTGTTATTAGCCCATTTCCATAAAGCTTGTCCCTATACTATACCATTTATACTACCAAAACAAGAAAAACAATCTTTAGAAAAATACCATGAGTAAGTTTTTATAATCTATAACGATAAATACAGTCGTTGTTGTTTGCATTTTAGAGGAGAGCCGAAAAAAGCTCCCCTTAATGAACAAATTGAAAAATTGCTCCCCTAAAAAGCTCTCCCAGTTTCGATAAGAAGAGTGATTTAGAAATTAGGGAGAGTGATCTGATATTAAGGAGAGTGATTAATTATGAAGATCAATAATTTCGTGTAAGGGATCATTTCTGGTTACATAAATGATAATAAACATTGTCTTCTAAATAAGAGCACTCGTAGTCGTATGGTCAAGTCAAACTTTTGCTATCATCTTAAACTACTTATGGTATTCCAATAGAAATACTTATCGACATTTCTAAATATATATAGCTTGTATAAATTTTGTTTAAAAACATAACCCCTATTAAAAAATAGAATCATAAATGCTTGAAAATTCCATCAAAATAGAATCTATTTCTTCCGGAATTATTCTCATAGGAAATTTTAACGTGCCAACTCTCGTAAATTCTCACTTCTCACGAGAGTTCTACTTTAAATTTCAGTCTAATAAACCAATGATGCATAATGTACCATCTTTAAAAAGCAGCATATTCATCAGAATTTTATTACCATGTGCGATCACATTATACACTAATCAAATACACTAAATAGATGTTCACAATGGCAGCGATCGGAATGTTAGTCTATCACACTCTTTTTAAAACAAAATATGTATGTCCCATGTTTTACAAATAAGGTGAGCGATTTTCAAGTTTAAGGCGAGGGAGAAAAACCTCCCCTTGGTCGACATTCAGGTGCGTGGCAGGCGATCGCGTGCCTCAAAAAACAATGACTGAATATAATGCTGCTTTAGAACCATGTCGTATTGATGGTAATTATGAGTTTCTGATTGCAAATAGTCAAAGTTTCGATCAAATTGTAATCTTGAATTTGCAAGTGAAAATATCATTTGTGAAGGGAGATCACATGATTTTAATATAGCACTGCAAAGGTTATTCTTTGCATTAAGGGGAGATAATCCTGCAAGCTGTATTGACTAACTTTGACAACTGAGATTATCAAATTCACTATTTTATGATAGTATCAAGATATATTGTTGGTTGCCAGTGTGCCTGCTTTACCTTAAAACTTATCTTTTGTAGCTCAATTGATTTTTTTTCAGATATTTAGGATACAAAGTAGAAGATGGTGTTATTGAAGATCAGGATAAATTCTTAAAGAGAATGTCAGGAGTAATGAGACTGTATGCCGCCATCTTGGTGACTTCACCACCAAGGGGCAGTAACAGTGTTCACCCATTTGGAATAGAACATGCATGGATTTGGTTATCTAGAGTGTTAAATTCTCCACCCCAACCTGATATAACAGCCACAATGATATATGATATGCTTTATGTGACAGGACATTTACTGCACGATCAGTTTAGAAACCAATTCCTCAAACTGTTAAGTTGTTTGTTTAACGAATATGTGCCGAAACTACGAAGTGTAGCGGTTGGAGGAGGACCGGTGTCGCGACTTGAAACTTTCATAGGGAATGTGATTAAAAGTGGTGGCAAAATTGCCAAACCAGAAGGGCTTCTTCCATCAAATTTCTTATAACCCGAAATATTCACTGGAGTAAATGCATAGATGATGAAATAGAATTTACAATTGTATATTGAATTAATGTTCCAATAATTTTATATATTTTAAAAAGCAAGAAATTATGGTCAGTCAGTGTTAGAAATTAAACTGCCAAATGCAGCCTGTTGCCCAATCTGATTAACATCTAAATTTTGTTTAAACATACATTAAACAGATCTGTCTATTGCAGGTCTTTCTTTAGGCCTGAACTGTTATCTAAATTATTAATTAGACATTAATTAACCTATCCAGACCATAATCAACTCTAGATGGCATCGCTAGCCTGCGATCTTTAGTGGATTATGAGCCGATTTACTATATAACTTTCCATCATGATTTAACAATTAAATGGATAATCAAGACTATGCTGTTTATCGTACTGACTTTAGTAATGATAATCAAGGCTAGGTGGAAATTTCAATCGCTTAGTTCTCGATTTATAGTGAATTAATTTGAATAAATTTTTTTATCAAATTGACTTTACATTATCTAGTTTTTAACTACTATAGTGAGAACTGCCAACTCGTTATCGAATCTCCCATAATGTATCTTTAATTTTTTTATATTTTCGATATTAGATCTGACCTGTTTCAGTGGGAGTTCATGTCAGAATCACATATGTGAACTGTGTGTTTCTATTTAACTTTTGATTTGTTTGTATCACTCTGTAGGTGTCTCCCATATGGAAATGGGGGTTGGGTGGCCGACTGGTTTAACTCATGCGAGTTAGATCATAACGTCTGCCACTGAGTGAAGTGCCAAGGTTCCGATTCCCCTTTTGTACGTGACAAGGAGTAGGGTTGCCTCTCCAACCTAGTGGGTTTTCTGTGGGTCCTCTAGGTTTCCTCCCACACCTACACTCAAGCGAATTGTTGAAATAAAATTGAACCATGTTAGTCCAGAAATTATCTTGTTGTGTCGATTGTATATATTGCTAGTCACATTTAATTTAATACACATTTTTAAGGATTAATTAAATGAAGATCCATTTTCCTTGAAATCTAACCAACAAAAATTATCCCATTGCAGTTTCCTACTTCTGTTGTTATAACCTACAGTGGTCAGATTAATGTTAATTTGACTTTTTTTTCAATAGTATTAAATTCAAGATGCATCAGTTTCGTGTTTCACAATAATTATGATGAATTACACATACATATTAAGACTAAATATGGATTGCAAGGTAGGAATTTATTTTGCAATTTTGTACTTGACAAGGTTAACTCACTTTTATGTTACAATAAGATATTAAAGATACTCCAAGTTCACTAAAAGTCTCTTTAAGTTTATCACTTTTTAGAATATCCATTTCATGCTCTCGATCTTGTATTTTAGAGAAGTCATCTGGTCCACAACCACAACCCCCATCTTGTTTAGTACAATAGCCAGGATGTACCATAATCTCACATACAAATTGTTTTGTTGCATCTCCAGTATTGAAATTAAAAGCTTTAGTTATAGCAGCTTTTAATCTTTCTATATTCATATCAGCACCACTTGTACTTAATCCAACAAAATAGTCAGGACACCTAAAATATTAAAAAAATCAAAGACTTTGGCAAATATTGAAAGAGTTGTTATACTTAACAAAATGAAATGCAAATCAATCATTCAGTAGCCACAAATAATATTGACAGATGTTTGAAAATTCACTAAGCATGTTTTTCTTTGTTTTGAAAATGACTGAAATTTGGACAATATAAGAAGCAGTGTTAATAGATCAACTATTGACAATGTGATGTTCAAGTGTTGAAATTCATTTTTATGTGCTACATAATCGTGATACTCACCATATCCCATTGTTCCTAAAAACAATTTTAGCTATCCCTGATTCTTCTGATTTTTCTACATAAAACCTTCTTCTAGCATCATCTATATATAAATATTTGTCAATATTTAATTCTCCACATTGTCTTGTACAGTTTATACCATTTGCTTTTAAAACATCACTAAATATTTCTCTTATATCTGTAATATGAAAATATAATATCATCAGTAAAGCACTATAGTATTTTTCCAGAATTAAGGTTAAAATTATGTAAGAACTGATATAAAACCATTTATTCTAACTCAAACTACTATTTGAAGATAATATTGCCATATTTAGTTGTCTTTTATCTATGTGTTTGAAATCAAATTTTGAATTCATTTTACATACCAACTAAGACATTATTTATACAGTGCGTCAGTTTCTGTGATGAAATTGTAATTACATCTTTATGGTATAATAGTACCAGTAAATATTGGGACTAACAAATGTAAAATACATATGTTACATTATACATATTGAAACTAATGTAAAGACATATCCAACAAACTACAAAGCAGTAAGTGTAATCAATGGAAATCTACTGTGACGGCCCCATCTTCCACAAGGAATGAAAAAGACTAAATAATTTCCATACTATTCAAGACATTCCAAGCACATTATGTATTTACAGTACTTTATGTTAATCTTATACAAACTTTCAGTGATTAATTACAGATTCACAAATTCCATGCTATTCCAAATTGACAGTTGTGAGTGATGATCTTGATTACAACTGAGCAATAGATTTGCTTAAATGAGTCCCATAATGTTTTGATTGAGCTGAAACTTTAAAAATTTTAAGACCTCATATGGGCTGTTTCTTTACATTTTAAACTTCTTTTATTAAACATACATTATGCAAGAGCTAAATCTGTCTATTGCAGGTCTTTCTTTAGGCCTGAAATGTTATCTAAATTATTAACTCGACATTAATTAACTTATCCAGACCATAATCAACACTAGATGGCATCGCTAGCCTGCGATCTTAAGTGGATTGTGAGCCGATTTACTGCATAACTTTCCTTCTCGATTAAACGATTTAATAGATAATCGAGACTATGCTATTTATTGTACTGACTTTAGTAATGATGACCGAGGCTAGGCAGAAATTTCATTTGCTTAGTTCTCAGTTCATATTTGAATGAAATTTTCAGCAAATTGCCTTTACGTTATCTAGTTTTTAATTATTATAGTGAGAACTGCCAACTCGTTATCAAATCTCCCATAATGTATCTTTAAGGGCTACCATGTGAAATTTTGCCTTTAATAACTAACCTGTGACATGAACATGTTGATGTCCATCTACATGTAATGGTAATCTTCCAGTTAATATACGATATTTATCTATCTGAGCTTTAATCTCTAGTTTAACCTACAAGGTATAAAGCAATAAATAAATAAGATGGATTTTCAAGTGATTATCCAATATTTTAGTGGGAATCAAAAATCATGGAATAAACTTGATTGTGAAAATGAAGTTAAATGTTTCTTGATTGTGAAAATATGTTAAATCTTGATTGTGAAAATGTAAACTGGCTGTTTAAACTGTTCTCAGTTACCAGTACATAAAATGCTATTAATTATTCTTAAAATACAGATGTGAATTCGCCCTTTGATGTTGGTTTGCCATTATTTCAAATAATGGTACATGCAACTTACCAATCGTACATTATTTATACTAATGAAATATTGGACTTACGTGACGAATTTCACTGTAAAAGCATGTGCACAATGTCTGTATTTTAAGTCATTTAATGGCATCGAGCTTAAGACATTGCGTAATATATTGTAAAAACACTCGGGCCGTAGGCCCTCTTGTTGTTACAATATATTATTTAATGTCTCGCTCTCGACCATTTAACAATACATAATTAAATGATACCTCATTATATTTTATTAGTCTTGCTTTGATGGCATTACAAAATCCAATCTTTCCACGGAAAAACCCTTCTTTATTCAGTAGACTTGCTACATATTCTGGAAGTGACAAAGGTGTTCCCTCTGATAAATTTAAATGTAGACCTGCAAGAAAAATATTGACTATTAAACTAGTCAAATAGCAAATTATTATTAAATTTAGTTTTCAGATTTATTTACTGAGATTTAAATTCAATGTACCAGAACTATTGACATTGATTTGACTAATATTATGATGTATTGCACATGGTTATAATAAATGTGTTACTTTCATCAATTATTATCACTTTATGAGCTTGTTTGCTATCAATTTGTAAATGCTACTAATAGGCCTAAAAACTGGGTTATATTTTGACATCTGTGCTGTTTAAGTTTCACTGTGTAGTTTACTATTTACAGTTTATTAAATACACTGTCACTAGAAAAAAAAAGATTCTTATGGACTATGGTTACTGTGTAGGTCTATATCAGTTTTTATCCATAATATTTATAACTAGGCCTATTACAAGTAGAATCCTTTTTCTAGCGTCAAATGACTGATCTGATACCTATTCTCTCCAGTGGAATATTGTGTTTAGCAGCTAGTTGAATGGCATCTTCACAATGGATACCATTTACAAGTAAAGATATAGTTGTCACAGTCCCGCTCAAAAAACATTCCACAATCCCCATATTTCTTTCTTTGCTATACCCAAAATCGTCTGCTGTTATGATGATGCGGTTCATTTTGGCGAAGTTGATGGCTGTACAAAAGTTGTTTCCCTTTTGTCTACAAAGTGCACGCTCCAAAGGGCTAAATCAGTGGTTCTCAACCTTTTTTTGCCAACGGCATACCTTGGAACACTTGAAAATATACCGGCACACCTGCCTAAATATATATGAAATATATTTTAATTTTGCAGAATACAAACATGATAAGTCAGACGGAATACAACCCTATAGTAGACACACTCGACAGAGACTAGTCATAGACACATAGAATAACTCAATCTAAATTTAACACACAGATGAACTTATCAGTAGACACCAGTGAATCCAATTGGGATCACATGGTTTTTCGCATTTTCTTAGTGTGCCATTCAAAATTTCGCGGGACACTTTGGAAGATCTCGCGTCACACCTGTGTGCTGCTGCACACTGGTTGAGAATCACTGGGCTAAATCATAGAGTTATAATAAATAGTATAAATCTATTTGTTAAGGCCAGCTCAATTATTGTCACGGTCGCGGAGATGTAAATATAAGTCCACGAGTAGGGTTGGGATTAGCGCTAACCCTGTTTACATTGACCTTTGATCTAACTCAAAGTTGACCTTATCAAGTTATCAACCCATCCTCCAAGGCGGTAGTCAACATTTTACTCTTTTTCAATCAAGTTTTTGTAGTCCTGTTATTTTTCAGCTCGCCTGTCCCAGCCTTTTATTACTAATTCTTTGATTGTTTGAATCTAAATGAAATAATTTTTGAGTGTAGTCTAGTAACCGTACTAAAATTTAATGCCAGGTAGCGTGTCACTGATGTTCAGAATGCGCTTATTGTGAGAGAACGCTAGATTGGAGACGGTCCTGCACATTTTAGCAATATGATGTCATATGTGGGTTAAGGTTATGGTAAGGATTAGGACCATCCCAAACTTAGGCTGCCTGTCTACGGTTAGCTCGAGGAATGAAGTACTCAAGTAGATGGATCGCTGCAGATTTCGTCGAGATGTAAATTATGGCTAGCGCTAGTTCAGCTCTGAACGTAGGTCTCATTACACTCGGCCGAGTGTAATGAGACCTACGTTCAGAGCTGAACTACTAGGCTAGCGCTAACCCTAACTCTGGACCAACCCTAACCCTAACGCACAATCCACAACCTCCTAGTCTTCAACGTATATTCGTTATCCAGTCTACGTCATGGAGGTCAATATAATATAAATCTTGATCTATGGTCTACGCATCTATGGGTCTACGTATATATTGTATATATAATAATTATATATTCGTAGAATATTTTTCTGGATGATAGAGACTACCGATCTAGGACTTTAAACATTTTAGAGTGGTTTCCCCTGAAAGTTCTTTGTGCTGAAAAAAGAATAAACGGTCTAATTAACTTGCAACATGGCTGGCGAAGTTATTGTAGATGCGTTACCATATTATGATCAAGGTTATGACGAGACTGGCGTTAGAGAGGCTGCCGTTGCCTTAGTAGAAGAGGAAACTAGAAGATATAGGCCTACCAAAAATTATCTTGATTATTTACCAACACCAAATTATGACGCCTTTGAAACTGAAATTATGAAAAACGAATTTGAACGCTTGCAAGCTCGTCTTCCAATGGATATGTTGAGCATGAAACGTTATGAATTACCAGCACCTTCCGCTGGAAAGATGACAGATGTTGCTGCATGGATGGAATGTGTGGACAATTCACAGGCTCAGTTGGAACATCAAGCAACAAGAATTTTAAATTTGGAAATAATGTCGGAATATGGATCAAATGCATGGAAATCATACAATTCAGTTCTAGCTAAAATGGTTGAAAATGCACAGAAACAGCTTCAAGATCTAAGAAAAAAGATTCAAGAAATAAATTGGCAACGTAAAAATGAACAATCCCAAGCTGGGGGTAAACTAAAAGAACTGGAAACTAGATGGGTTGGTTTAGTCAGTAAAAACTATGAAATTGAACGAGCATGTGCCGAAATAGAGAAAGAAATAGCAATGAAAGAGAGAAAAGTGAATGGCAAAAAATAAGACACATGTTAAACAATGTGTGTGTATCATATATGAAAATTTTAATAACGAATGACAAATATCCACAAGATCATTGTCCGAGTTCCACTGTATTTCACTAATTAATGGAGAGATGTACATGGTTTTCTAAGAATTATCCACATCTTCATGACTATTAATTCCAAATGTTAATAAGAATTTTAAAAGATAACCATCATATTGTTGTAAACATTTATTTTGTGAATAATTTCATATAAAACCAATGCTTGCTTGTTATGTGGTACTTATTAGACTGGATCTTGCAGTAGTATAGATCAAATCCTAAGCTGCTTGATTGACAAGATTTGTGCATACCCTTTCTGCATGAGGTGCTTCTCGCTGATGTGAATCTGAACCCATGATGCCCTAATCATGTAACTAGCTTTGTATTTTCCTTACGCGTGACCTGCCACGGAAGCTGCAGGCCCACTTTTCGTCATACAGATCAAATTACATGTATTATGCAACTTTTGCTACTGACAGCGTGAACCCTATCTACCCGAATTCAACCTTAAAACCCCATAGGTTGACTGCAGTTGACATGCAGCAAAACTTGTACCCACTCACACATGTAGCTTTGTTGTCCAAGATGACTGGCCAAGCACAGTAATTATATTAGCAGAGTGAGCTTAACCGCCAATCGTTAAGCTGTCGTAGGCAACCTCTATGAGCAAATGTATACATTTTCCTGTTCTTACAGGTCCAGTAACTTTATTTTATACCTATTTGCACAGATGTAGGTACCTGAAATCCATTATGGCCTCATTCCTACAAAATAAGAAACTGTCTACATTGTCTCGTTAAAGATGTTACACCACACACAATTTCCATTAGGCGGTATAAAGTCATGCCAGGCAACGAAACATACACCCACAGCAGCTATATCGTCCGGGCAGTCAACAAGAGTTGTCACATATATTTTTACTTTTTTCGGTAATAAAACATTTATAATACATTAAAATCTGATTAAGAGTAACAACTCATTAAGTAATTATCAGAAAACCATTAGAATTTGTTTCGTTTTTATAAAGTTCTGCCCCATGCTAACGTTTAGTATACAAAACTAACCTTAAACACTGTGTATACATTTAAAGTCAATCGGATATTAACTGTAGCCTATAGAGCGTCCACAAGTAATTGTGGATGCCAGACGGACGGAAGGGGGCGACAGCAATATACAACCACATTTCAATGTGGGCGTATAAAAATGGGAATTGACAGTAGTTTTTATGAAAAAATGCAGAAAAGAAAGCCATGCAAAATGTGGAATTTACGCCCACACAACTGCAGCTTATCTGATAGGAAAGCTTGTATGTTGAGCAAATTTGATAAGGACCTAGGATCCTAGAAGAAATCCTATCTCTAGGGTTCATCCTCTTATGAATCCATTGTTTCCAACTTAACTTGAAAAGGTAGCCTCTAATGCATTCACAAGGTTTTTGGCAACAGGGACATAAACCAGCTGCAGATTATGAATATTGATAGGCATTGATGACCCCAATGTTTCTAGCTAGGCAACAAAACATACGCCCACAGTGGTCGACAAGGGTTGTCGCATATTTATTTTTTTGTAGGTACATGTAATTCGGTTCATTTACAAGACAATTTCATACTGATCAGATTAAATTTTCGTCGTTTGAGGGTTCACAAGGTTCTAAAAAACTGAAACAAGGACTTCAACTCTGGAAATAATTTACAGAAATTGTTGAAATTAAGACACGCTCTTTCGTTTTACCAATTTAAATAATGCATTTAAATTTTTATACAGATTGGATGGGTGGTTATTTCCAATACAAGTATGGCAATTTTGGTATATATGGAAAGTAGAAACATCCAGTCTTATTAAAAAAATACTGGATTCTCTAAAAACACCCATGGAGCGCATATAAGACAAAAATTTAAGGGTTTCCCCAACCAGCAACCCGATGCTTAGGGATATCCGCTGAGTGACGTCAAAGGTTGCACCCAAAGCTTGATGTATTGTTGATAAATTTTTGTAAGAGATGGATAGAGAACAAGCTAAACAAGCCAACAGCGAGGCTGATGTGAGATGTCCCCCCCCCCCCCCATACCCCCCCGAAATCCCAAAATAAATAGATGACACATATTAATTGCACATTTATTTTTTCTCAAAAGTATCAAGCAATCAAACTATACTCTAAGTTTCATCACTCTGTATCAGATAAAATTAAAATTATCTTGTTCCAAAGCATTGACCAATGAAATTGATTAGCTCTGCCTAGCTTCAGCTCGAAATGTTAATCATTGAACTCAGCCAAGACATTCACCTAATGAACATCTACGTCAAGTTAAAACATTGTACCTCAATTAAAAGCCGGCTTGTTATGTTCCAAAGTCTTGACCAGTCAAATTGCTCATCACTCCTTTGTCTAGGCAGAAAATTCTCACCATCGAACTTAGTCAAGGTAATGATATAATGAATCTATATTTGGAGTTTCATCGCTCTCACTTCATTATAACCAAAGTTATTGTGCCCCAAAGCATCAGCAAATCAGATTGCTTATCTCTGCTTACGTAAGCAGACAATGTTTATCATCGAACTCCATCAAGGTATTCACCTAATGAACGCCTGCACCAAGTTTGAAAATTGTACCTCAATTAGAAGGAGAGTTTATTGTGTTCCAAAGTCTCGACCAATCAAATTGCTTATCGCTCTGCTTACCCCTAGCAGAAAATGTTCATTATCGAAGTTAGTCAGGGTATTGAGATAATAAAGCTACGGTGTCCTCACTCTCACTTAATTAGAACTAAAGTTATCGTGTCCCAAAGCATCAACCAATCAAATTGCTTATCTCTGCTTACCCTAAGCAGAAAATGCTCATCTTCGAACTCCATCAAGGCATTGACCTAATAAACACCTACACCAAGTTTGAACATTCTAGCTCAATTAGAAAGAGAGTTATTGTGTCCCAAAAAGTGTGACAGGTGGACGGACAAGATACGCCCACATTTTGCAAGAGATGGATAGAGAACAAACTAAAAACAAAAGCGATTTTTCGTACAATCCGAGGCCATAATACAGAAAGTTATGGTCTGAAATGCGAAAATATTGAAAGGGACTGAGATATTCAGGATATAAAGTTTATCAAAATCATTTAAAAATTGTGACTTCCACAACCTTCGTATTACATACTTTTACACAATTTGTGTATAAAAAGTGTCCATTTTATCGGGCAGTTATGTTTTGATTTTCATGAAATTCAAATTTAACCTTCATTATGGTGGAATGGTGATATATTTAAATGGTTTTTAAAATCGGATAGAAAAATAGTGACCTCTAGAGAATCCGCAAACTAACCAGCGGCTGCCAGGCAGGATACGCCCACATTTTGCTCGAGATGGATAAGAGTACAAGCTAAACGAAAAGCGATTTTTCGTACAATCAGGGGCCATAATTCAGGAAGTTACGATCCGATGTGCGCAATGTCGAAAGGAACCAAGATCTTTGGGTTATAAACTTACATTTCAAGTTTCATCAAAATCAGAAGAACATTGTCACCTCTTGCGGGTCCACAACCTTGATATACCATATTTTTACGCTATATGAGTACGAGGGGTGGCCATTTTGTCTGTCAGTTTTGGTCTGATTTTCACGAAATTCAAACTCAACCAACCTTAGGGTGTAAAGGTGATATATTCAAACGTTTTTTTTTTAATCGGACAATAATTGTTACCTCTAGCGGGACCTGAAGCTAAAAACGCGATTTTTCGTACAATCGGGGGCCATAATTCCGGAAGTTATGGTCCGATATGAGTGAATATCGACAGGAACCGAGATCTGTGGGTTATAAACATACATTTCAAGTTTAAAGCAAATCAGATAAAAATTGTGATCTGTATAGTGTTCACAAGCTAAAAACGTGATTTTTCGTACAATCAAGGGCCATAATCCATGAAGGTACAGTCCGATACATGCCAATATCAAAAGGAACCGAGATCTTAGGATGATAAACCTATATTTCAAGTTTCTTTGAAATCGGATGAAAATTGTGTCCTGTAGAGTGTTCACAAACAATTGTGGACGTCCGGACGGACAGGGGCGACGACAATATTCGTCCACATGAAAATGTGGGCGTATAAAAACCACAATTTTTTTGTACAATCCAGGGCCGTGATCCAGAAGTTACGGTCTGATATGCTCAAATAACGAAAGGAAACAAGATTTTTGGGACATAGACATATATTTTAAGTTTCATCAAAATCTGATAACAATTGTGACTTCTTGGTATGACATACTTTTACACTATTTGCGTACAAGGAGCCGCCATTTTATCAGGCAGTTTCGGTCCAATTTTCATGAAATTGGAACTCAGTCGTCATTAGGGTTTAACAGTGATAATTTAAACATTTTTTGAAATTTGATAGAAATTATGATCTTATAGGGCCCACCAGCTAAAAACATGAAATTTCGTACAATCTGGCGCCATAATCCAGGACCAGGATGTTACAGTCCAATATGCGCCGCAAATATCAAAAGGAACCACGATCTTTGGTTTATATTTCAAGTTTCAACAAATTCGGATAAAAATTGTGACTTCTAGAGTGTCCACAACCTTGGTAATACATACTTTAACACTATTTGCATATAAGGAGCGTCCATTTTTGTCTGGCAGAACTCAACCATCTTTAGGGTGTAACGGTGATATAAATAGGATAATAATTGTGACCTCTAGTGGGACCACAAGTTTTAACCACAGTAATACTATTAAATTTCTTTGGGATAAGAAGAAAGAACACTAGCAAGATACATTATATTTAATACACTAAAGATAGATCACACAACTATACTACGCTATCATTACATTCACTGTTTTAGTCATTTCTATTACTTCTATGTTTCCTTCTTAAACTTGTTATAATAGTTTCATTATTAGGAAATGCAGTCACACCCTTGAAAAATGTGTCTTTTTCTGGATCAAACTTCACTGAATTTAGAGCGATGTGAATATTTTTTGGTAAGTTTAATTTAGCTAAGTCCTCATATACAGAAGTATCTCTGACTTCAGTTTTAAAATAATTTAAAACATCTTTCAAACTGTTCATGTTACTAAGTTCTCTATTACTAACATTGTGATCTAATTCTGTCATCAGTTTTGTTAATATCTGAAATGTATAAAATGTAACATAATTATAATACAAAATACACCATTTATTCAATATCAATTGAATATCGTTTGTGACGACATATTTCACACAAGTATATAATAGAAAAAATTAAATTAGTTACACTTTCTAACACACTGTAACGTATAGCCTTTATGATGGGGAAAATTTGGCAACAACAACAGCATTAGATATTTTTATAACTCTTAAACAGACTTTAACTGTCTGTCGAATAGTAGTCCCTTTTTTTGAAACTGGACGGAACTACAGCCTTCTGTCTGAAACTTGTTCCAAAGATGCAATTTGGTTATTAACAGATAAAGTTTGACATTTGATTAACCTACTTTGAGAGTTTTTGCACCATTTTCTATTTTTGCTTAACAAAGGTAACTTAAATTTCATGTGTATGTTGTACCTAATTCCATTCAATCATACACTTTCTTAAAGTAAAAGATCTTCAAGACAATTACACTCAAAATGCTGCTTTTATCAGAACTGAAGTAAAATAATCACGCTTTATTCCTATCTGATTTCTATTTCTGACTATCTATGCCAATGATATTTTTCTAATTTGATATGATAAGGACTGAGAGTAAAACTATCATTGACGACCTTGAATTTCATTTTTCTATCATTTAGACGTAATGATGTCACGTCTTCAGGAACTTCACCCAAAATCTCTTGAACAATTTCTTTTACTTTGACTTCTAGGTTTTCTGGTGGTTTGTATCCTTTTACTAATCTGGAATGCCTGTAATAAATGAAACACTTTAGATCAACTCTATATTCTTGTGAATGAAATGTACAAAATTGACTAACTAGTCCCATTACATTGGATAGCTTTTCCACTCTTTAATATCATTTATAACAAGTTGAGCACAAAAGCTAATTACTTAATTTTACCAACATTTCAGTGCTGGAATTATGATCTCTGTGGTTTTCTAAATGTAGAATGAATTGTTCCACTAGTGTCTAATATCTTTAACATTGTTCAATATTTTATAGGTCTACAAAAAAATCAGTTTTTACGTTTGCATTTTTGAAGATTTAAGACGTGATATTGTTTTTACTACTGGTTCATGTTCTTCTACTTTTTCTTCTTGATCGGACTTCCAGAAAAAAGCATTTCTTAAAACCTTTAAAACAGAACAATAGCATCTTGATAAACAATTATAAACCTTAATTTAGGTTACAATTACTGAGGACTGTAAATGTGTATAGAATATGGCTTTATTGCAAGAATCATTTTGACATTTTGTATTTGCGATATGAAAGCCAATTTCAATGAAAGAAAAAACACTGATAATGACTGGCATATATCATAATAATATATGGCAATAAAATAAAGTGTCTTGATATACGAGTCTAAATAGTACATAATATATATATATGTAAGATGGTTATTATCTGGGAAACATAGCTACAATCCAATACAGAAAGGTCTGTAAAACAATTGTTTAAATATCAGACTGTCACAGATGTGCAATAGGGTCCAAACTTGTTACTGGAGAGCAAAGAAAGAATCACATATAATTCTTTGCTACTGTACGTATATATCAAACATTATACTATAATGCAACACTACTGAACTTACGGGAGCCATGGTGGGATTTTCCAGCACGGTTTCCCCTTGGCAGAGGTCCCGTGTACATCTTGGCGGGCACATAAAAGAACCCTTGACAGTTAGAATTCGATATAAGAATTTGTACAAGTAGTGTTGCATTGGCCCGGGCAGAAGTTCCCTCTAGCATAGCACACTGTATGGTTTAAGCCCGTCTTCATTAAACCCCATTTCATTTTTACAGAGCTTACGTGTACCTGACTTTTAACCCAGGGACACATGTACTGTATTGTTATGTTATGGATTGTCTAGATTGAATAATCCAGATTCTGAATCTGATGGCTCCTGGGGTTAGATTATTTAGTCTGACTCGACGAATACTATGGATTTTAATTAACGGGAGTTGATTTCAATCACACAGGTAAGTTTACAATAACCAAAGTTAAGTAGTTTGATCATAATCGAAGAAATCCGTTTAAAATTTACGATGGTTCATGAGACAGTAGTTTATTAGTACTGTACTCAGTACTGTAGGGCCTATCCTATAGTTCAATTGACGTTTGTCAGCAGACTGACTCATAGTGAAATGACATCTTTGTAAATGGAATCATTTATGCCCCAAGCTGCGAATAGAAAAGTAATTTTACGTTAATTTCACACCTGAAAACTACAGCTGGAATGTCTGTTTACAAATAATTTTGTCCGCAAAGAAGCGCACATTCTGGGCGCTGCCATTTTGGAAATATATATTTTATACCGGAAATTATATGAAAAGAAACATATGTTTAACCAATTTCAGCTTTTTTAGATCTCATCTCTTAAGAAGCGTTATAATAGACCAATCGCATACACATACCATATGAAGTGGCAATGTATTAAAATCAAAATTTAGCATTCTTATTACTTTCTTCGTTTCGTTTCTAAATAAATAGAGTATATAAATTTTGTAATGCCGTGAATTCCAGTTATCTCCCTTAGAGTTATCTCACATTCCGACAATCCCATTTCGATAGAAAACAACATAATTTAATCAGGACGAATATATGTTATTACCACACGATTAGTTCTCAGGTCGCAAATGCATTATCGCTGAACAATTATACGGTGTCTGCTCTGTACTAGATAATTAAGTATGTCATCAAGTCTGGAGGTAGAACCCACTTGAGGAGTATGGTCGCCTAATTTATTATTTAATTAACAAATTGTTGGTGTTCTTCCTGGGCTATTTGTTAAGGACAGATCAATTTTAGTCAAGGTTGCTGAGATGTGAATAACATTAGGGCACGTGATTGTTGGTGAGATTGTCGGGTTGGGTTAGGGTAAGCATTAGGGCTAGGTCCAGAGTTAGGATTGGGCTAGGCTGCTAGCCCTAGCTATTCACATCTCGTCTCGTGACCATTGACCAAATTTGAAGTTGGCCTTATCAATGGTTTCTTTGGGTTGTATTCCTGATTGTTTTCAAATTTGAGTGAAGTCTGTGTCACTACAGACCCGGGACTGTACAGCGCAGTGGACGCTTACGACTAGCCCCTGGATCCATTCACTTTTTTTGATTTGGTTGTTTGTGTTTTTCTGAGTATGATGTTTTGTCCCTGTATTTGTTTTTGTGTAAATTTTGTGTGGTGCAGTCCCCCTGCACTTACTATTAGATAACATTTCAGGCCTAAAGAAAGACCTGCAATAGGCAGATTTAGCTCTTGCATAATGCATGTTTAATAAAATTGTTTGCATGAAACATGTGAAACAAATTGGTTCTGCATGTTATAAAGAAGTGTTCTAATTTTTGAATATTATGGTTACTCTTCAGAACAGAGATCTATTCTCAAAGTAGATAGTTCTCTGTGTGCAGAATGCTGTGTGATCCAGTGATTATATATTCATGTGTGAGTGGTGAGCTACTTGAGATTCCAGAGTGAGAGAGGGTATGATGATCACTGACATCCCAGATGAAACAATGCGTTTTTTCATGCAATCATTATTTTTCCAAATTTATTTTTAGATGTTATTTTAAAAATGTAATGCTGATATTCCCAATATTTATATTTGCAGACATTTCTTTTAAATAAATGAGAATACAAATTATCCTGTAATGTCTATGATTACTGTTCAGTTAGGCCAGTGTGGTAATCAAGTAGGAGGACAATTATTCTCAACAATAAGTAATGATATAGATGGAAAGCAACACATGGTCTCCTCTAAAGAAAACAAGGAATATGGCGATCAAGTTGTGCAAAGATTTTTCAATCGTGTGGATGGACATGATATAATCGAGGCAAGAGCTGTCATGGTGGACATGGAATCAAAAGTAATAGCAAAGACCTGCTTGGAAGCAAAAAAAGGTGGAAAATGGAAATATCCGGATAAACAACAATATTGCCAAAAAAGAGGTTCAGGAAACAATTGGGCTCATGGATATTGTATCCATGGACCAAATGTCAAAGAAACTGTTATGGAAATGGTGCAAAAAGAAGCAGAGAAATGTGACAGACTTTCAGGATTTTTGTCTCTATTAAGTCTCGCAGGCGGTACTGGTTCCGGTGTTGGTACATTTATTAATGAGTCCTTACGAGATGAATTTCCCCATTCTTTTATCATGAATCAAGTAGTTTGGCCATATAATACTGGTGAAGTGATAGTACAGAACTATAATGCTGTATTAACCTTGTCTCATCTATATCAAACTGCTGATGCCATTGTTGTCATGGAAAATGATCATTTACATAAAATTTGTTCTCGTTTGCTAGACATTAAAAAGATATCTTTTAAAGCTATAAATCATGTCATCTGTCATAAACTTTCGTCACTTTTCCTTCCTGCATCATCATCAGATGACAATATTTCACAAAATGATTTAGGTAAGCCCTGCAAAAGTCAGTCATGGTTTGTTAATAATTTTTTTAAAAGCATGAATTTTTTCAGAAGGGTGTCTCCAAATTGACTAGTTTGGATCTCTTTCTACTATACAAAAACAAACATTCCAAGCAAATGTACCTGTCAAAACAATGAGCCTTTTAATTTGATATTTGTTATCTTTTGCTTGTTATCATATCATACTAAACAATTAACTAAAGATCATGTGAATCAATCTATTTCAAATGGCCCCAAAAGATGAAAAAAGTAAACCGTACCACCTTCCAATTTGTTGAAATTTGGAATCTGTTTTGAATTTCCTTTCCAGAAATACCTATTTTGATTAGGGTAATCTGAATATTGGTGGTTATGTCCATTTTGTCCAAAATTGTGTGGGCTGGATATAAGCTAAAATTCATAATATCAGCTTTTTCGCCAGCACAAACATGTAAACAAAATGAAGGGAGTATGGCTAAGCACACTGGATGAATTGACATAGAAAGACAATGTTGAAGCTTTATTTTCTTGATGAAAGGATCCAATGTCATTTCAGTGATAGATGCTATATTTCAGGTATGATATTACATCATTTAGTTGGTCACCCTGAATATAAACTACTCACTATTAGAAATATACCACAGATGTCTGATAGATCTATGGAGTTCAGCTCCTTTCACTGGCCAGGTTTATTAAAACATCTACGACAGATGCTGGTAGCTGATGCAGCAATGGAAGAAGGTATGATCGGGTTTTCAGTGGATGTAACAGGTTCGAGAAGAAAATAAATAGCAGTGTGTAAGGGGTGGGGGGGGGGATGGTCTAGTGGTTTAATGTGTGGACGTGAAATCACAAGGTGATGGTCTGTTAAAGAGATGGCATAGTATAGATTCCCCACTATATGATTGGCCCGATATGATCTAGTTGTGTCAAGTGGATGTTAAAACCCCCCTCTCTCTCTATCTCTGTTGGTACATCTCATCTGCCCTAATAGAGCAGAAAAATAGAATGTTGGTTGAACCCCTTTTTGTTTGAGCAATATAATCTGTATTACTGCATTTTTGAGCTCACAGAATGAAAGAGTTATGTCTATCTAATCTTAATAGAAGTTTGTCATGTGTATCTTTTTAAAATTAGGCTACGAGCAACTCCAGCTTCATTGTTTAGAGGCAAATCGAAAGACTTGAAAATTTTAACAATTTACTGATGGTGTAATCCAAGCAGAAGATATGAGCAAGCATTATCTTGTCTTTACTTTTTGTCCCCCGCCTTTCGAAGAGAGCAGGGGACTATTAAAATGGGTTCGTCCGTCCGTCACACTTTTTGGGACACAATAACTCTCCTTCTAATTGACCTAGAATGTTCAAACTTGGTGTAGGTGTTTATTAGGTCAATGCCTTGATGGAGTGTGGAGATGAGCATTTTCTGCTTAGGGTAAGTAGAGATAAGCAATTTGATTGGTTGATGCTTTGGGACACAATAACTTTAGTTCCAATTAAATGAGAGTGATGAAACTTGGTGTATAGTATATGGCCTCCGATTGTACGAAAAATCGCTTTTGTTTTTAGTTTGTTCTCTATCCATCTCTTGCAAAATGTGGGCGTATCTTGTCCGTCCGCCTGTCACACTTTTTGGGACACAATAACTCTCCTTCTAATTGACCTAGAATGTTCAAACTTGGTGTAGGTGTTTATTAGGTCAATGCCTTGATGGAGTGTGGAGATGAGCATTTTCTGCTTAGGGTAAGTAGAGATAAGCAATTTGATTGGTTGATGCTTTGGGACACAATAACTTTAGTTCCAATTAAATGAGAGTGATGAAACTTGGTGTATAGTTTCATTACATCAATACCTTGACTAAGTTCGATATTGAGCATTTTCTGCTCGGGGTAAGCAGAGCAATAAGCAATTTGATTGGCCGAGACTTTGGAACACAATAACTCTCCTTCTAATTTGAGCTAGAATGTTCAAACTTGGTGTAGGTGTTTATGAGGTCAATGCCTTGATAGAGTGTGGAGATGAGCATTTTCTGCTTATGGTAAGTAGAGATAAGCAGTTTGATTGGTTTATGCTTTGGGACACGATAACTTTAGTTCTAATTAAGTGAGAATGATGAAACTTGGTATATAGTTTCATTACATCAATACCTTGACTAAGTTCGATGATGAGAATTGTCTGCTTAGGCTAAGGAGCAATAAGCATTTTGATTGGTCAACCCTTTGGAACATAACAACTCTGCATCTAATTGAGCTAGAATTTTTAAACTTGATGTAGATGTTTGTCTTGACTGAGTTCAATGATTAACATATTGAGCTAAAGCTAAGCAGAGATAAGCAATTTCCTTGGTCGATGCTTTGGGACAAGATAACTTTGATTCTATCTGATAGAGAGTGGTGAGACTTAGTGTATAGTTGATAATCAGTTTGATTGCTCGATACTTTTGAAAAAAATAGATGTGCAATTAATTAACATGTGTCATCTATTTATTTGGGGATCTCGGCGGGGGACATCAGCCTCACTGTTGTCTTGTTGATACATGTAATTGATCCGTTTACTTTCCTTTCAGGTATTGATTGGCAGGTTAATGCTGGTGATGAGACACCAAGAGGTAGTGTTCAACACAATCGGTCTTTAGCCAACATGTTAGTTCTACGAGGAAAAGATGTCATCTCTACAGACACATCATCTTATCTTGATCCTAAGTTATACACTTCATGGACAGATCCTGAGTTAGGATTCAGTAAACTTATACAACCTCGAGCTTTTAACAGTTACGAGAAATGTGCTGCATTGATCAGTAACAGTCGATCTCCAATCCGTCCACTAAATCATATCATAGATAAAGCATGGAATATGTTTGCAGCACGAGCCTATGTTCATCAATATACACAACATGGACTAAATGAAGAAGATTTTATTGATGGGTTTGTTACACTTGAACAGGTTTTAGCAAGTTATAAAAAGTTATGATTATCATGTTTATTGTTTGGTTATTGTGATGTTATAAGATTGGGCTCAAAACAGGGGGGTTGGATGGCCGAATGGTTAGCACGCGGGCACTGTATCATACGGTCTGTCATTGAGTCAACTGTCCAACCTCGTGGGTTTTCTCCAGGTCCTCCGGTTTCCTCCCACTGCTAAAGACCCCTACGCGCAAGCGAATTATTGAAATAAAATTGAACCATGTGTTAGTCCCGAAATGACCTAGTTTGTGTCGAGTGGACGTTAAACCCCATTTCTCTCTCTCTCTCTCTGTGGGCTCAAAACTTTGAAGCTTGTGTCCAGTCCAGTCAGTGGCCCATTCCTGTTGGATTCTTCATTAAGCTTTATTGGAAGGGGGTAGAATTTTAATGCAGTTTACATCTGTCTTGCCCTATATCATATGCAATCTTTGTAGTTTTCTGGTTATTTCAAAATAACAATTTGATCATCAAATGCAGACATTTAACCTTGAAAATTGGTTGAAGCTATCTGATTGGCAGAAAAAATTAGAATAAATTCACTTTTCCACCAATCAGGTGGTGCTAATACTAATCTTCTGATATCAAACTGATATGCGATTAATCTAATGCACTACCTGCCGAAGAGTGATGAGGTGTCCACTATCCCCAGGTTTGGGATAGGGATTCTTATGTCTTGTTGATTATATTTACCAAGGGTATGATATACTTTGCTTTCGGTAGCTCTCAATTTCAATTATCTACAAAGCTGTGTGTTTTGAATATTTATTTTACATGTAGCATTGTGAAATATTATAATAGGTTCAACTTGTTATACATTTTTTAATCTTGCTACTATTTCTCATATCGATCTGTTTATAGGTGATTTAAATTTTGACTAGAACTAAGAATTATATTTCAGAATAACATACCAGTATCCATAGTTTAACAATTTAATTTCTATTTTATTTAACAGTCTATCCACTTTTTAATTCCAAATGATAATTAAATTTTTCTAAATAAACTAAGAAATGTATCACATGTAATCAAGTTTCACCTGTTCAAAGCAAAGCATTCTTTCTATAATTAGAAACACATCATACGCTCATTCAAACAATTAGCACGTTGGTGCAATACATAGAACATAAATAAATGCAGACCTTCGCACATAAGCTGATTTTTTAAAATGAGTATTGTAGGGAAGATCTTTCAACCTTTTTGACTATCAAAAATGAGTAGATAGGGGTCAGAAAAGAGGCAATTAAACTCAGATTTATGAAAACATTGGTCGACCTGTCAAAATTGTTTTTATTATAAATAGTTTCAATCCAATATACTGAATCAGTTTTATTATTGATTTTAGCAGCTACAAGTAAATCAGCTAATGTTTGAAGATCTTTACACAAGTGCACCAGGTTATATAAAGGAAGATTCAATAGATTCTTTCCACATATTTTTCTTTGTCTCCCAAAGAATAGTTATTCCAATAAAATTATCAAAAAGTAAGAGTTCTATTGAATCTATAGATGAAGATATGATTAAAAATGTGTTAATAATAGAAGATATGTTGATAATATTCAAGTTTAAATGGTAAACTTACTGTATATATTTGTATAAAGGTATCATTATTTTAGGTATACCAATATTGATAACATAATAATCAAGCTAATAGAATATAAAATTTATGATAGCTAAGAATAAAATAAGAGTTACAAAATTGCTATATTTTTTTTTATATTGACTTACTTTCTTAAAACAAAACCATTATGACATATTTTAAAATTTATTTTGTTTTAAAAAAAGCTTAAATCTTGGATATGAGTAGATAAAGATAATAATGATTAGTAAGATTAGAAACTAGATTTCACTTGGTTGGTAAACGGCGTCAAAAGAATGAATGAACTTAAATATTTCGATTAAAACAAAGATTATGATAGAGATGACTTGAGACAGACTTTATTTTGAGTCATTTAAGAGTAAATGTTTTAAAAAAGCTTTGAGTCACCTATATCTAAGATATTGTTAATAATTTGGGCAGTGGTTCACTCTTGGAGCAGGATATGTAAAAAAAATTACATAAATTTAATTACATAAGATAAAGAAGATACATTATATAATAAAAATTTACTAAATTAACATAACTAAGAATTGGGTGAGGATAAATTCCTATACACTGATACATCAAGTTATTGAGTTGAAATCTACAAAGCCATTGACCATGTTCAATCACTGAAGATGGGATTGCTATTTTTAATGGGACAATAAGCCAGACTCATTACAATATCACAAAAGTTAAATATGGATATATAAAAACCCCGCTCAACAGATTTTAAGCAGAAATGAGAGGTGATATGACCCTTTTTCAAATGATAACATTAAATTATCCTATGCCTCCTTTATATATACAGTGATAGTATACAATATTTGTATGTATAAAGACGGCACAGGATTATTTAACATTATCATTTGAAAAGGGTCACTCTACACTCTCTGCTGGCATCATCGTTTGACCCAGCAGCTACACAGATCTACCACCTCTTTTAAGAGAGTGCTGCTGATCTCCCTCCCCTTTTCTCGTTAAAAGTTAAAAAATGTACTATTTTAATTACTGTAAAGGCTGTTATTAATACAATGAAGCCCATAAAGTTTAAAATATCTACTTTCAGATTGGGCTTACATGGAAAAGATTGCAAATTATAATTATTTTATTTACCCCATGGCCATAAATATAAAGATATTGGCATGAAATCAATGTACACTTCAAAATGGCCATAATTTGTTTTAGAATGAATCAATTTAAATAATATTTGGACAAATGCTGCATATTCTGGCAACTATTTCAATACCTGATAATCTCCAATGGCTAGACTTCTTCAAAGTCTAGCAAAATATATCCAATCTCACTATGGTGGGCATTGTATAATGAACATAGTAATCTCTTAACAATACATATAATACACTTTCATGTATTTATTATTACCCTTTTTATTCCAAACTTAGCAAATATTATTAGGCTAAATTATAGTCCCTTTAGTGTAAAGGGGAAATAATTCTGTTTATCCTAAAATCTGTTTTCAATAAAGCACTCTAATAAATCACATCTTCATACCAATGTTTTGTTTATGTACATTTTATTGTGTAATTAAATAACGAGCACCTACTGCACACCTCTAATTATATTTAATAACATACTATCATAATATACACATATATTGACATACATACAACTAATCCATAGAAAAATAAACAACTTGGTATACATTGTACATACATAGGTGTATATGTTTACATTAAGAGCAGTTAACATGGAACCATTGACTAAAGCTCTTCCTAATGTAGTTGGCAGGACGTCTAGGCAATTTGAGCAATTTATTGTGCTGAAGCCCGTATCTAAACTAAATATTTAAAATGGTCTATACACATTAAGCAAGAGTGTGTCCTGCTTCTGCAAAGCCTATATGCCACAACATGTCTACATATTAAGAGAAAATAGTTTTGCAAAAGGCTTATTATATCATTGTAAACTGTGTTTATGTTACGGAAATACTTCAACATGCTTTGAAACAAGTATAGAGTTTCATTCTACATTAAACTGGATGAATATACACTTTCATCAAAACAAGCATTTATTCCTCACGACCCACTATCAACTGTAGACCTAGCTATTGAAAATATTAAAACGATACCAAGCCACCCCAATTTTCCAGAATTAATTGCTGGTGCATACCCATCACCGAGAAGCCAATATGGGATAACAAAGTGATAGTGTACCAAAAGTGTTGGTTATTTAGGAAAGTTATGTTTACATAATAATAACCAGTAGTATTTAGGCAGTACTATTGATAGTAGGCTATCATATTAGTGATTACACACCTAAACAAATTTTGTCAGATACATGTATATTAATAGAAACATATTGATCTAATCAAAATTTGGCGTTTTGATAAAATTACATCTGGTCAAGTAACACCATGCATTTTAAAGAAATCTCATGCTATAGGCAATTAAATGAGTATAATATACCTGTGAGGATATACTATCAATGGCAGCTATTAAATATTATTACAAGTGCATTCATATGTCAAAAACTGAACAAACAAGATTCCAGGTGTAATGGGTTTCCTTAAATTGGGACGGTTCATTGGTAATGGTTATAATCCTTAACAAAAAAATACTAAATAATACCCAACTTAAGCCATCAATCTAAATCAATTTGTTTGGCACATTTTTGACTAGAAATCGAAAAAATATCTTAAAGTATTGCACAAAACCATTGAAAATGAAATATTATGAATGACAGCAAATGAGTGTTACTCTCTGTCAATCTTCAATAAAAGGTTTAAATTTATTCAGACACAATTCCTCCCAAAGCTATAGCACTTATCCAGATTCAAAATCTGATTTCTTCTCATATTGCTGTCCCTTTAATTCAAATATTTGCGACCAGGAAATAAAAAAAGACAGCAACTTATTATTCCCAGACATAATTGACTCTTGAAACTATTTTAGTTATATTAACTAAAATAATGAGTAATACACACTAAGAAAAATAAATAATAAATAACAAACATTTAACACATTTATACAACAATTGAAAGTTGGTCGTCATGATGCAGCCATCCTAATTAATGGTGTTCCTAATTGACTAGGGATAACATTTAATGTTGATTAAGTGATGATAATTGTTTTGTGTTACACTTAATAAAATTTTTTTTCTAAAATCTGGTACTAGCTTTGGTGGAATGCAATTGACCAGTTTCAATAAAATAAATTTGATTTTATATCAAAAATTAAAATAATAATTGTTTAAAAATTAAAATGTTGTTTTAAAGTTAAATTGAAGTTTAGGTTAATGTGTAATGTTTAAAGAATATCTTCTTAAAATCTGGAATATTAACGAATCGCCACAGCAATTTCTTACATGGTATATTTCCCTTTGACCAACGTACTATATATATATTTCAATTCAGATATACATATTATTACTTATTAACTCACAACCCGACAGTCACTAAAGACATTTAATATACTTGTTTTATACAGAAACTTTCCCCTTTCTTGCATTTACATTCGTTTTCAGGCACTGTTTTTTACAACCTTATGTGGTAAGGTCCCTTTGAAGCTTAAGTTTTCTAAAAAATATAGAATTTTCTATCTAAAGACCCCGTCTTTAAACCAGCCTTTAAATCAGCCGTTAAATTACAATATCAAGACATGACAACAATAACTGTCGTAATGTCTTTTGTATATCACACTTTTTGTCCGTAACTAGAATTTATTTATTTGGAAAAATAAATTACAGAATGCTAAAGTAGCATCTGGTTAAACTTGGTTCCATACTCGACTTAAAACTAAACTAAAGGCAATGAATATGGCACTAATAGAATGGAGACTGGCTGAGCTGTCTGGTTTCTTCTGCCAGATATCTTGGACTTGATTAACTAATGATGACTTGACGTTCTTACAGTTAAGCCAATCCGTTGCGATGGGTTTAGGATAACCGACTCTGGTTTTCATTTTCAGATCATAAAACTCCCAATAGTTTGGACCGTAGAAGAAATAGGTTTTACCTGCAATAGAAACATTATTATATCATTTGTAAAAAAAAAAAGTCCTAACCATAAAATTCAATGATCTCTCCCAAACCATCTAATGTCAATCAACGACAGTTTCTGCTTTCGTCATTAATTCCAGACGTACTATGTTCTATTCAGATATCTGGAAATCATACTACTTGTTTGAATGGTTGATGACACTAAACAAGTGCATCGGTACCGCTGCAATACACGTCCACATTCCTGGGGGTCGGGACATGCACCAAAATAAATAACTGCCGTCTTTAAGGTATAAGGAATAAATATGCAAGTTCCAAGATTAAGAATTGCAGCTTGTAGGCGATAAACCCAAAAAGTGGATGTGGCACCGCCCAAGCGGGTCGGATCATGCACCAAAGTCAATACTTGCCATCCTTAGGCTATAAGGAATACAGCTGCATAGTTCCGAGACGATCCATTAAGAATTGTGGCCTGTAGGCAACACAGACAGACAAAGAAAAATGGGTGTGGTTCTGCCCCTGGAATCATACTTTGGGTATAAAGGATCTGTCAAGAATTGCGGCCGCTAGGCGACACACACAGACACAAAAATTGGGCGCGGCTCTGATAGTTGATAGTTTTTAGAATTTCGATGGATTATCACCTTTAATACCGATCTAATACTAACAATAGAAACAGAAATTCCTACGACTAAAAGCTTACCATTACTGTGTCTGAAAGCGGCATCAACTGGCACGGGTACGCCCCTCCATATACTCATATCTCTTGGGTAATCATATTCTACATATGTATTATTCTGATCTAGTTTCCAGTACATATCACCACTAACTAGGTATGTTCTATTATTAAAACCCCATACAAATACTGTATCTATTTTCTTGACATCTGGAGGGATACCGAACTCGGTAATAGGGCGACCTTCTGTTGGGAATGAGGAGACGAGATAATTGGCATTAAACACCCAATATTTATCACCTGAAAAATAACGAATGTTACATCAAATTATCCACATGCTAACGTTGGAAACGATGATTTTGTTGAACTGGTACATACACACATGTTCAATACTGAATTTAAAATATTGGCAAGACGTCCTAAATCACCAGAGGCACATGGCCACTCCACTGTACATGTTATAAGACTGCCTTTCTACCGTGTGATGTATTGCCCCGGTGTAACATTTTACCGTACATTTGATAAATTATGTGATGAATTATCCTGGTGAAATATTCTACCGTACATGTGATGAATTTCCCTGGTGAAATATTCTACTGTACATGTGATTAATTGCCCTGGAGAGTGAAATGTTGCTCTGGGCCCTGTTTCACGAAATTTTAACTAAAGATAAAATCCAAATTTTAGTAGATACTTCAATTTTGATTGGCTAAGCACTAAAATCAATCTAGTATTATCCAATCAAATTACTAAAATTTTGATTTTATCTTAGTTAAAATTTCGTTGAAACAGGCCCCAGGATTGCCTCGGGGAAATATTTTACCATTAGTTCGACAAAAGGATTGCCCTGATGAAATATTTTACCACTTGTTCGACATAATAATGAACGCCCTGGTGAAATATTTTAACACTTGTTCGACATGATAAGGACTACCCTGGTGAAATATTGTAGCATTCGTTCGACATAATAAGGACTGCCCTGGTGAAATATTCTAATGTTCGATTGACGAGGGATAGATTGCCCTGGTGAAATATTCTAACGTTACCATGTCTTCAGCCTGCCCTGGTACAGTTGACTGCACTGATGAAATATTACAGCGTGCAATTTACTTGTTATTGACTTTCATGTCAATCTATTGCCACAGTTAGAGACTGTACTGGTGAAATATTTACACACACTCATACTCTATGTTCTTATATAAATCGTAGACTTACCAGCAAAGAATACAATCTTTCCATCTGGTTTTCTTTCAAAGACTGCATCAATACGTTTGATCTCATTAGGAAAACCATACCAAAACTGATGAATATTTATTGGATCTCTTACAATATTTCGGGAATCAAGTCGCCAAAACCACTGAAGAATTAGAACCAATGAAATAATACTACATTATGCCAGTTTGTATATAAAATTAATATAGTTAAATCACTAATCTAAAACGGTATATTTGATAGCAATTCCATCCAGATGAACCAAATTCAATAACGTTATTACTATATAACAGTAAGTGCAGGAGGACCACACTACTTTTAAAAACCACGGACAAGACGCACGCTACACAGACATTGCATGCAATATTCAAAATACGCATATATCAGATCAAGTGATTAGATCGGGGGCCAGTCAAAAGCGTCCAATGCGCTGTACAATCCCAGGTGTGCAGCCATACAAGCTTCACTCAAAATGAAAACAAACTAGTACTAAGGAAACAATCCGACAAAACTTACATTTCCAATAAATAAGAAAACCTCATTTCTAACAACAGTAAGGGCATCAAAAGATTGAGTACAGGGGTCTGGTGCTTGTCCATTAGGATCCCTATCAGTAGGATTAACAGTATAACCATCATCACCATCATTATCAGTTCTAGGGGGTCGTGTGGGTTTAACTGGAGGTAAATCTGGTAATTCCATTCCCTGTTTAGGACCTAGATAAAAACATAGATATATTAATTAATGGTTCCAATATGGGTGTTGTATCCACGACCATGTTTAAATTCAACAGTGTGCCCCACCCATGTTGTAAAGAAAGGCGTATCGGGTTTTCATATCTATTCGTTTGAGTAATAATAATCAGAATGTCCCGGGTTCGATTCCCGGCGTAGGCCGAGAAGAACCCTAGGAATTTGTTCAATCCCAGTTCTGATTTGTCCGTTGTGGTACCTTTCAAGCTTACAAGGAAAGCGTGTTGAGTCGTTCGGATGGAAAAACACCGAGTACAAACTAATAATGTACGTAAATATGTCATAACAGTTTGAATTTTAAGACATTGTCCGCGCAAAATTATATCCCATCGAGCCATATAAATAAAATGACCGTATATGGGGTATGTAAATAATATTGTCAACGAGACACCTTTTTCAATTGACCGTATGTGAGGTATGCAAATAATAGTGTCAACAAGATACCTCTTTCCATTGACCGTATGTGAGGTATGCAAATAATATTGTCAACAAGACACCTCTTTCCATTGGCCGTATGTGAGTTATTATTATTATTATTATTACAGCATATTTATAGTGCACCCTTTCATATAACATGTTCAGGGCACTTTACACCTCTTTCTATTCCGTTCCTTATCTCTGACAATAAGATGTTCTTCTCGGCACACCGGAACTCACTACATTCAGCATCACAACTACCGTGACCCGCCTTGGATGGACAATAAGTTAGATCTGTTCCGCTAGTAAAGGGGTTTAATAACATCATTTAAAGTCTGATTCTACCAACGTTGGGTAGAATAATATATATTTCTATATTATTTTAATACAACCGAAATTACGATAAAACGGCAGGTACACGTGAGTCTGCATCCATAACACCACCCATTGCAACACTGTTCGTATGTAGCATCATTTAATGGAAGATAGGTTGCCAGGCAACGGAACATACGTCCACATCAGCTAAATCGTCAGGGCAGTCAACAAGTGTTGTCGCATATTTTTTTTCTTTTGTCAGTAATGAGAACATTTACAACATATGAAAATCTGATTACAAGTAATAAGCCATGAAGTAATTATCAGAAAACATTAGAATTTGTTTCGACCTTAAACAATTTATATTAAAGTAGCTAAGTCTCCAACTCAATATCATCAAAAACCTTCGACATTGAAAACACGAATTATTTTTCAATTCAAATCAACATTTGTCTTGTGATCTTAGAGGGAAAAGATGGGCTTCCGATATCCAATATTCAAGACAAAATAAACATTTTACCATTGGTACACGAATCGTGTACCATAATGCGTTTCAGCGCCATTTGGAACAAGGGACTCAAAGAACAGGGCTATATATATTCCACAAGTCATGTCAAATGGTGACGCTATATTCTTATCTGGAGAGCATGCGCAATAAATACCATCGATGTAGGCTGGAAAAACCAGACGCTAAAAATTGCCATTCACATGAGACTTCTGGCGTATTTCGCCGAACATAACTGATTAGAAATTACAGTAAAAACAGAAACGTTTGAATGTAAATCAGTTTATATACATTCATATAACATTATTATATGCGTTGCGACCCATTTTTGTCAATTTCTAGGTCCCAAATATTAGCGATTTAGCTCCTTTAACTTTAGCCTATAGAGTGAATGAATGAAATGAAGATTTAGCCTCTACAGCGTCTACACGATTTTTCAAAGTGATCGTTGAATATAAATAGGATTCTTCATCTCATAACCTTAAATACTGTGTATAAATTTAAAGTCAATCAGATATCAACTTTAGCCTTAAGACCTTCTACAAGTAATTATCGAAAATAGTTGAAAATCAATAGGATTCTTCGTCTCATGACCTTAAACAGTGTGTATAAATTTAAAGACAATCGAATATTAACTTCAGCCTCTAGAGTGTCCACAAGATATTTCACGGCGACCAAGGGCCATAACTCTGGAAGTAATTATCATGACCGGATATTAGCCGATAGAGCTTCCACAAGTTTTTTCTAAGTGATCAAGGGCCATAACTCTGATAGTAATTATCGGAAATCACGGCAAATTAATAGGCTATTTCGTCTCATTGACTTAAACATTAGATATTAACTTTAACATTTAGAGCCTACACACGCAGTTATGGACGCCGGAGACGGACGGACGGACGGACGGGGGCGACGACGGTATACGACCACATTTCATTGTGCACATTTCATTGTGGACACATAAAAAGGAAATGATTATTTACTCACCATACATATTCTGTATACCCTCTATATCATCCCTTGGTAGTAAAAATTTAGTTTGAAACCCCTGATACCACGGATACATCAATGCACCAGGCTCACTACTATGGGCTAAGCCTAGAGCATGACCAAACTCGTGGGCGGCCACCATAAAAAGGTCAACACCTTAAATACAATGAAATAACTATCAGCAAAATTTCTCCCTCATCAGTACTTATTAAGAATATGGACGGGTGTAGGTATGTGCATATTTCAACTTTATTTAATGGATTTTGGTGTAAAGCGCGTTGGTAGACAATAGGGTGTCTATATTGTTGTGCAACACTGCAACCGATATCGAGAGTATCTCATTCAAGTGGGAAAAGGGTAATTATTATAATATGCAAGTAGAGAAGAGTGGAATTAATTTGCTGCAGTCATCTGATCTTGTAATACACCATAAACCAACCAACGCCCATCCATTTCAAAATGTCTGCCCTTCTTTTTATTTCAGTATTAAACATATACACATGATATGTCACTCAAATAGAAGGCACGGTGGTTTTACAAACTAATATTTATTCGACAGAGAGACCCCAGAAACAATGCAGCCAATATCTCGATGTTGCGGTTTGACTCAGTACCCGGTTTAGTATGGCCTGGTTCCGCGTACATATCCAGGTGAAACCACATGTTTATATGTCTGTCATTTATGTATACATTCTTTTACATCGAATTACTATTTGTAAGGTTAAAAAGTAAGGTACTGAACCAAACAGGGTACCGAGCCAAACAGCGACACAACTTCCATAAGTATTTCTCAAAGTTTGCAAACCAGTTAGTTTAGTACACGCGATACTGATTTTATTAGTCCGTTAATAATAGGTAGTAATCACAACAATCCTGGTCGCCGACCTTATATTTATTGAACTTGATATCAACAAAACGAGTCATAATAATGTGTTTAAAACAATGTACTTACCATCTGACGAATTAAATGTCCATCGTTCATCGTCATCAAAATGTGTGTCGCCACCACGACCACTACCAGGGAAGAACGCATGAGCTAAGATCATCCCTGAAGATAAAATTCACGAATAAATACATAAAGAATTTCGCCCATACCTGTTTTCGTAATTAGCTCCTCAAAATTAGGCCCCTACATCGCGCTGACATTGAACAATGATATTTTTTATTGGATTGGCCTTAGCGCAATGTGTCCAGAGTGATTGCCAGTTTTACACAATCTGAAAAGGACTTGTTGTTTGGTGCATACTATGTGTGTTCATTTTCAGATGGGGTGATTATAAAATGTGTCTCTTACCTTTTCCATCAAAAGGGTAACCATCTTGATGATATCTACTGGCGAATTGTATCATGATATCAGCTTCACCATTCATTATTTCAGTAAATGTTAATTTAGTTACATCACTCCACACTTGAAATGCGCCATATATAACATTTCTAATATTATGTAGTGGTAAATCTGGCGAATAGTTCACTATCCTGATAATAAAAACAAAACAATAATATATACATGTATGTATAAAATAAATATATGGAGGGTGGGGTGCCAAATGGTCTAAAGTCCAAAAGTAACAAGGAGTGAGGTGTTTTTTGCAGTGTACAAAGTCCTCAACTACTGTTGATATCCCAAAAAGACAAAGTTGATACAATCCAGTAATAATAAAGATAGTAAATTGCTTGATAACGATATCTAAATGTGTATCGAAACGTAGCATGTTAATAAATTCAGAAGTAGTATATCAATATACGTGTTTTTAATTTGTGAAATCTACTTCTATATGTCTTATAAGGATTATATAGACAGTAATAATATAGAGCGTTGAACATTCAGTCAGTTTGACTGCTCTGTGGCGCTTTATAAAGAAATAAAATATAGACAACAAGCACAAGTAAAACAAAATTATAAGACCCATACACAAACCTGACGCGTTTCATACACAAAATATAACATAAATTTAATTTTGATAATTAATTCGAAAATATTCTGTTTTTAAACCTTCTGGACAGCTTTTGGTATTTATTCCAATCTTTTGGACAAGGTGAACGATCTTTCTCTAAGTTTGGATTTAGGAACAGCGCAGACTAACTGATAACTATTTTGATGAACGTAAAGTAGACTATTCATATAATAAGATACATTCGTATAATTAGAACACCACACCCGCCACTGCTACTGGGATTAATTAAAACTAAACGTTTCAGATAAGACAAACGAAGACACACCGCCCGTGTCAGGCTATGTTAGACGAAAAACAACAAAAAGCTAAAAACAGATATGCTTTAATTAAAAGACAAATATTTTGATCATCTTTCCTATATAGATTCAACAATGATAGAAAAATTGAACATTAAAATGTGCAGATATGCCTTAGAAACACGCAGAAAAAGTAGCAACATAGCTGTACCTGCGGAAGTGGGATGCACGTCAATTGAAAGCTTTATTAGATGTTTAGCACAGTTATAAGAATTACAAAACTACCTACTCCAAATTTAACAAGACTTGCTTTAATTGAAAATCAAAAGATGCATGCAGACGAAAGACAATCTGGGTTTCATTTTTTAAGAATTGTGAATATATAAAATAAAATATAGATTTAAAATCGTATTATAAAAAATAATAATAAAGGCCTTGGTGGAACCAGAAACGCACTAACAAATCTAAGAATAAGCGCACATAAATTGAAAATTGAAACAGGCAGATATTTAAAATTAGACGTAAACGATCGTTTGTGTAAAATATGTCAGGAGGTATAGAAGACGAAATTCATTTGATGACAAATTGCAAAAGACATGACGAAAAAAGAAAAGAACTGTTCAGATTAATTCTATTTTGTAAACCAAATTTTTATAAACTGAATGATTTACAATAATTTAAAATACTGATAATGAATAAAGATATAGACATTTTAAAATGTTTAGGAGCTTTTGTATACAATTCGTTCATGCCTTTGTAAAGTTGTGTATCTTTGTATAATTGTGTCCATGTATGTAACTTTGTTTGTTTCATGTATATTTCTATTATTTTTATTTATATATGCACATAACCTTGTAAGGTTTTTTTATGCAATAATGTTTCTTCTTCTTCTTCTTTCACCGGGAAGAATTGGAAAGAGAAATTTGGTAACACTAAACGTCACTGAACCTGGAAATTTGGGCGATGTGCCAGGAACCATGATAGAAGATTTCATTCATGAGTATTATGTACATGTATACACTAATATAGACCTTCACTGTCTTACTGGATTACACAGTAAAACGCCATATTTTGTCACCCTGACTTCGTATACAAGTCTCTGGCATACACATTTATTTATACACGAAAAGGTCAAAAGATACCAAAATAATATTTTTTGCCAGAATTTTGATCTAATATGCGTTGACTGTTTAGACCATGACACACAATGCTCTAACCAGGAATCTACTCTGTAAGGCGATTTTCAATATACTCCTTTTCTTGCAGTGTAGTTTCTTTGCTATTTGGAAATACTGATTGGCAGTTTGAAGTATTCTCTTGAATATTTTCAAGCGTTCTGTGTAGTGTGTGTAGTGGGTAACAAATTGCTGTTTTAAAATTACAGGTATTATGAATCCTACCATGAATTCTAGGACATCCTACAGAGTCGTCAAATAGACAACCGACACACCACTCTGGTCATGGCGTCGATCGGTCGGCTGGGGCGAGTATGCTAGTCTCCCACACTTTCTAGAGTTAGGGGTGGGGGGGGGCAGCACACCTCTACCCTTTCCATTAAACAAAAACACACTACATGTACATGATACCCGACGGGTTCAGTTTTGGTTAAAATAAATTCTGAAGCCCTTATGTTATGATTTGGACTATGAGATGAAACAAAACGATGGATGTTTTAATTTCTATCTGGGTAGACAATGTGTTTTAGTTTTAAAACAGTTATGGGCCGATAGTATATAGGCAAATATAGACTTTCAGTAGTCCCAACAAAAATTATTAGATAATATCAATTGACCAAGTAACGTTACATTACTTTACATTGATTCCATGCCGCCATCTTCACTGTTGCTGAACACCTGAATGATAATTCATTCCTATTTATGAACATCAAGCTCAGTGGTAGATAACCTAATCATTATCTAAAGAATACTTTCCGGCCCTTATTGTTTTTAGTAAATTTAAATAAAGAAATGATTATTTGCCTTCTGACACAATATGGACGCACAGTAGGTCAATATGTGTTTACTGATTAGTGTCATTACCCAATACGCCGAATTATAAATAAATAAGGACACTGGGTCTTAAAGTTATTCGATATGTACAGCAACACACACGACATATTTGTAAGTTTATATGTAATTTATGTCCAATGTTTAAACCAGAGTTGTTCCGTCCATTCAGCAACACAGACGACCTATTACTATTTCATCATGCAGCTTCAATTAACACTATGTATTAGGCCTAAAACATTTGAGGTACTTACATACGCAGTGTAAAATTAAATATTTACTCAAATAACTCGATGTTTTGAAATTTGAAAAATCTTATGTACCGCATTTCTGGTATAATATGTCTTTAGAGGAAGGGATTAAACAGTGGAAATGATTTCATATCGAATAAAACCAATATTCCTGTTATATAACTAGTAAATACGTTGCAGATACAATAATTGGATAAAACAAATTGCGTAATTAAACGATCGGGTTAATAAGGTCACAAAAGTCAAAATGCCCTGAAATATTTCGGTTACAATATATTGTCACTTTACCGGAAACAGATAAGATAAAGTTTAGTTTAAACTCAATGCAACATGCCTTTAGTTTCCGTGCACGCAAATGCTCAATACCATAATAACAAGGGTGTGTTCAATTCGGAAATGAGCAGAACGAAATTGAAACCAACCCGGACGCAGTATCGGGTTTGATGATGTCTTCCTCGATTTAGTTTGCTTTGATTCGTACATTGTATGTGCGTAAATAAATAGCACGTGTAGGCATAGTGATGGAGAATTATAAACTTGTACTTTTGCGCTAAAATCGTCTGATAGAGGGATAACAGCCAACTCAAAAACGTCACCAGTTTGTGGTGATAAATCTATGCATATTGGTCAATTACATGAAATATTGGTAGAATTGCTGTCAAATAGCAATGTTACTGTCTTGACAATTAGAAGATTTCTGCAGGGGCTACAGTTTTCTTTTTATGTGTGCGTGTATGTGTTTTGTGGGGAGCTCAGTTTGTGTTATTATATTTTTATTATTCTAGTCCATTGTATTTCAGACTTCTTTGCAAAAAAAAAAATAAAAAAAAAATAAAATCTTACTTCGATTTAAATCCCTACTAAGGGGATATATAAATATTCAAATTTAGCCACATACTATAAACTATTCAAATTCCTACTACAAACTATTCAAATTTAGCCACATACTACAAACTATTCAAATTTAGCCACATACTACAAACTATTCAAATGTGGCCACATATTACAAACTATTCAAATTGAGTCAAATGCAACAAAATCTGAAACATACAAGAAACACGAGTCTGTCACCCCAAATTGACGAAATATGGACATTGTAAGTCACTGGAAAAAATATCAAATTACATGAATGGACCCATAAGGTAAAGCTAAAATAAGTATCAGCCAATTATTGGAATTAAACGCCTGGATTTTGGATTTAATTTCTACAACAAGCAAGAAATATTGATCTTCAAGAAATATTGATCTTCAAGAAATATTGATCTTCATTATTGAATTATACACCTAAAATAGATTGCAAACGGATATTAATACATAAACTTGGGTTTGTCTCCTGCTTTATCATGTTTTATTGGTCTAACTATAAAAATGTCATTAAAAAAGCCCCGACGCATCATACTGCTTCAGAATATAAACCCTAGATCAAAGACATGGAGTATGGTTAAAATGGCTGAAGTTTTTCTAAACCACATGTTTACGAGCTACAGGCATCTGAAAGTCTTAGCGCCATTTTCATTACTTACAGCACACTAAAGAAACATTATACCACTCATGCCTTGTCTCTTAGACATTGACCTAAATCACAGCGTCGTGGAAAACTTCAAAAACCTCGTGGCCTTTTGCAAACAGGAGCCAATTCCAGTAGCCACTTTTTTTCAACACATTATTTATCAATTATTTCAAAAACCACACGAACATCGAAAAGTTAAATAAATATTTTAAAATGTTTGCCACATGAAGAATGCTGTTTGGGCATGCCAAGTTCATGTCAAATTAAACTTCATATCAAATATTTTACACCCATACTTCATAAAACGCGAAAATTCCAATACGATTTTTATGTCAAAAATCCATTCATCCGCAAGAAATTCTGCTACAATCATTTTGATAATCTATCAATAGTCTGCAAAGTTGTCTGTAGTAATTTTGGCGCGTATGTCCTCATTCATGCAGGTTGTGATGATGTTTATTACACCACAACCACGCTGAACAGGGACACACAGACCAAACAATAATAATAATAATACCTCTAACTACACCCAAATATTGAAACAATTAACTCCTCGGTCCTTCGGACTTCTTGAATTCATTAAAACATACCATATGGGCGCTTTACTCTACTAGCCCCAAGGCCTAACATGACAACACACCAACTCTCACGACCACACCAAACTAAACCAAACCATCAATTCCAATGAGCCAGCGAATGAGAGTGAAAGTTTAACAGCAACTTAGCTCGACCGATGCGGAGTGTCGTTGTAATCTTAGAAGTATATTTGAGTATTAATAACCCCATCTGGGAAGTCAAATGCACAGGAAACCCTCTCTGATTGGCTAAAATGACAAGAACTTTGAAAATTCTCACCCCAAACCCCGGCCTTTCCTGATGACTAATAATACAAGTTCATGTTTGCAGCTCGTTTTCCTGGTGTGCTGGGACCACTTGGTTATAAACCCTTGTCCACTTCCGAAACTGTTATCAGCTAACAACAGACACCACTTGTAAATCTAGCCTATACTTATTTAACATGGTAATTAACCATTTAATTTTCCTAGACCATAATACTCTTGATAAGTTAATTGAAATAGAGAAATCGGAGAAAGCTTTCTTCTCGCTAGGGACGTTGACTTCAACGATAAATCGAATATTGTGCTAATTGCTGTAGTCGTTACGAATAAATTCTGTTAAGCGAATGGTCTTGATTCGAATGATCAGACGATGTTTGTAAAAATTGTTTTTTGAACAATATAGTTTAGAAATGCCTTAAACTTATCGACGTGTTAAAATGTTAGTTTTATTTTCGAAATTGTTAGCAGGTCTGTGCTGCACATATTTCACGTGTATATCTTAGTCTTACAATCTAAATAACAACAAACATTTCTTTTTTGAACTCTTCACAAAGGTAAATGACATCTTGATATCTGCCCTCGGCATGAGTCCTGTCCCTACTATTTGTAGCTAACATAGCTTCAGAAGATAAAGCATGTTAAAAAAAACCTTAGGGTCAAAGTCATGTAGCAAAGTCATTCGCCAAAAGAGCGCATCGGCAGCACCTTTTTTTCTCAGTAAATATTAAATAGTTGGCAATTAAAACAATAAAATAAACACTGCTTCCAGATTTTCATTCCGTTATTTAACGGACTTTCATTCCGTTGCATCGGTATAGTATAAAATTTATCACTTTTGGAACCATCCTAGACTAGAAACACACATTTAGTTGAAGGCAATGATTTACATAGCAAATGTTAAGTATCGAATGACACTAATATGTACGCAAGACTCTCTGGAGATGTCTGACATTCTGGTGCATTAAGGACAGGTGTTTATAGATCAGTTTACTTCATTTAACTAATGACAGGTCAATGTACACAATTATTCAAACTGCAAAAACACCACATTCTTGGTATGTACACCTAGAATGTCCATGGTCTTATAAAACTGCGCAAGAATACTCCCCAAAAATTAATTGACTGCTCATCAATACTCATAAATGAATAATACGCATCCTTAAAACGATGGCCATCATTAAAATAATACCTATCAATAAGAAATACTCAATAAAATAATATTTTTCATTATACTTATCAATTAACCAATGCCCATCATTAAAATAATACTCAATAATCAATAAAATAATATTTTCATTATAATATCATTTGGTATTTTCTTACATTGTACAATATACAAACATAAAAATTATAATATATAAAATGTATACTAGTTCATTATTACTTACACCCAACTCAAACCTGACAAGTATTTTGGTAAATAAAAACAAAAAATTACAATGGCGAGTTATATACTTTAACAAACTACTTTGACATAACTAGTAATTAAAACACATCCTGATATCTGACCTTATTCAATTATTTTGTTTTAAACCTTGACCTTCTTGTGTTGACTTCTAATATTAGAAATAAACACACAGCTGTATTGGTTTCTGCACAACAAATTTCAAGACCAGATACTTATTTATTGTATATATATAATCTACTCGTCGCAAAATGAACATTGTAGAAAATATAAATTAGACTTATATTAACACAAGGTACAATTTTATGGATACACAATTACTGAGTTAATACTAAGCGACGTTTCGACGAGGATACTCTCGTCTTTACAAATGCCTCTAAAAGATTAACTCAGTAATTGTGTATCCATAAAATTGTACCTTTTGTTAATATGTTCAATTACTAAATGCCAATCAAAGAAGATAGACTTATATTAGTTCGAATAACTATATTTCATAGACCATTCTCCACTGTGGCGTACCAAGTATTTCTTGCACTTTTGGGCGACGTCAAATGTTGCCCCCCCCCCATACTTTTCACTTGAGACAATGCCCTCCCCCTCCCTCTCCCTCACTACAGCTCTTTTCGACTCTACCCCACCCCACACCACTGATTCTCATCATTCAGAACAATAGATGATATATGAAACATCCAAAAAGACCCAATTCACAAAGACTAACAATTTAAATTTCTAAAGTAAAATGTACAAACAAGGATGTTCTGTACTGTATTTATAGGCTATGTTTCTAGCAAATTAATAATACCCTGAACGACCTGAACACAAAGCAGCAAATATTAAAACTAATTCGAGAACTGTAAGCTCAAAGAGGACAAATTAATGACGTGTTGATGAGTTGACTGGGTAGGCATAACATGTACCTATTCCTAATAAATCAAAGCCTTGCGAAAATCATATTCGCATTACATATAAAATGGGAAAAATGGAAGTATCCCATTCCTCGTTTTCTGCTTAAACTGAAAAAAATAATTTTGTCCAATTCGTATAAAAACCCTTTTTCTGATGAACATTATATGGGGGGTGGGGGGTATTGGACCGGCCATGGATCGATGATGATCATGTTGTATGTGGCCGGTGACATTAACGGACCGCCACGCCATCACTGGAGTCTGGAATGGGCTGGTATAATAGACTTTCTGGGCCGGGTGTGCTGGGTGTGGGCCGGAATTCGGAATCCTGCATAATATGACGATATGATGATTTCACAGGTTGATGGTTGTCAGTTACTTGCAGGTCGGGGTTTTGGCCTAAATTAATCGATTTATGAGATATACTATTTGACAGAGATTATAATCAGATATGCCACCAAATCGCATATTTGGGGTTCATTTTTCAAAATTTTCCCGTCCGGGCTGGCCGCGGTCAGTAAAAATGGGCCGCTCTGACACGGGAGCCCGGGCCGGTTTCCGGCCCCAATCCGCCCCTGGTACTGTCCATGTGCCGTTTAGAGATTCTGCAGTGTGGCAGTTAGTATTGGATTAAGAGGCAGAAACGCCGCTGCCCTGCCAAACTTTCCCTCATAGCCCACTGCATGGCGTATTCCCGTCTTCATTAGCCCAGTATTTCATTTCCATTTCTATTAAAGGACCGATGTGTCATTTGAATTTTCGCTAAAATTTCAGATTTCTTCGATATGTACTCAGATTGATTAGTTAACACTTATTTAAGAACACAAAATCGAAATACCAACGCTAAAGAATTTCCCGCTTTGGATTCAATCGGATTTAATAGATGGTGGCGTCTTTTTCCATGCGAGCAGCACAAAGCTATAATAAACTTTCAGTTTATCATAACTTTGTAAATACTGAACTGAATAGAACCATTCTTGGACTGATATTCCTAATATAGACTAAATATTCAAAATGTAGTTTGTCAGAGATTCCTATAGCGTTAATTGTCGCATCGAGCCTTTAATATACACGTAGTATAGTTGGAGATAAAAAAAAAAGATTAAAATATACTAACCTAAAAGTAAGGTTTTTCTTCTCCCATTTAGTTGGAGCTAGAGTGTATCTTTTTTTACGATGACCAAATGTTATATTGTTATCACTGTTACCACATCGAGGTCTCTGCATCAATTCTTGTGTTCTTCTATCTATCACACCTGTCTGTGGAATCTGTCCTAATCTTTGTAATCTTTTAATTTGATCCGACATATCTTCCATTGACATCAAGTTGCCGGTCTCCTGACTAGCACCAGACAAATAGCCGAATTTTCGTAAATATTCCTGTAAAGATATAAGAACCGATATTAAGTGTTGGATTGAAAAAAGAATGAAAACAAATCTATGGCTAGAAATTCTCCTTCTGGGTGGAGTTTATCATTTTCCTTATTAAATGTAAACTTGTTTGATACGGGTGTTATGCAATACAGCATTTTCTCTGTGTGTGTGTGGGTGTGAGTGTGTGTGTGTTTTTTTTGGGTTTTTTTTTTTGGGGGGGGGGGTCAATTTCTTGTCTTTTAGTTGTTTCAATCAATCAGATATAGTTTAGCCCGCCCGTTAAAACTATTACGTAAAGCAGGCAAGGTTTTTGAATCTTTAATATAAGGATTTTCAGTTTCGAAACCATTGCTTAGTTTTGGTTGTGACTACATTGGAATGAAAAAATAAACTGACCAGATTTTAAAAAAATACACAACTATGAACTACATAAAAATGTTTCAATGTCGGATTAGATTATCTAACATGTCTAATAATTTGAATTTACCCAATAAAGGCCAATTAAAGATGCATTATGTAAGATTTGGACAAAGAGCTGACCGTTCTTGTTACAATAGTTCAAAAATAGATAATGCAAAATGGAATATTTCATTCACATTACTATATTTCGAGCGAAGTTATCACTGTTTGAAGTTTTGATAAGATGTGGCATAGATTGTTTATTATAAAGTTACTGTGTTAGTCTCAAAATAAGACCAAAATGACCGCAACTTTTAATATCATTTATTTTTATTATTATTCTTGTGCCGTTTTAAAGGACTAGTAGTATACAACCGAGTTGTCAGAGACGATTTAAAAGGTTAGGCTATTACCACTACATCCACATCGGGCTATATTTAGAAACTTAAAGATGACAGGAACTTTCTTATTATCACCAGGAAACATTATAATACAAGATAATAGCACAGCATCCGCGCAATGTAAACATATCCTGTTAATCAGATGACAATATTTACCCGGTCGGAAAAGATACCTACGATTGAGATTTAATGTCGTATAAATTTATTGAATACTACACACTCCCACATTAATTCTCAAATACTGGAACTTGTAAATTAAAATGCATATTTAACAATTAATATAATTACATGCGTATTAATAATAACAAACTTTTTTGGTTGTTAAATAGAATTTTTCAAGTTCTTAACTTATTAACTAGTTTCAACTATACGCGTAATTATAATGAAATTAAGCTGCGTTTGATTCGATTTGGAAATGAAATGGGGTTTAACGTCCTACTGTTCTGCTCCTAAAATGGGCTAATGAAGACGGATTCGATTTGGAAATAGCGTTCCAGTCACCCAGGTCCTCAAGTAGAAAATATGGTTTGTAACATGATTCAAGCGATTTTTTGAACTAGCGAAAGTACAGCACCAATTGCAACAATTGTCCCACCAACTCATCGACCAGCTTGGCACTAGAAATGGTTTTGCAAATTGGCAAATTTTGTTCAAGATGTTTATTTCCTTTTGAAAATCACAATTTGAAATTAAATTCACGTTATGTTTTATAGCGTATAACATTAAACTCGATGTATATTTCAACAATATGGAATTCATTTGACGTCATCAAGTCAAAGTAACCCCTGTGTTTTGAGCACGGAAGCTTGCCTTTTACTTGATAACACTATCGTAATACTAAACAATCTTGGAGCACCATCTTGCATATCATTTGTACTGGTAATGAAATATCCCAGGTTTACAGAAATAAATGTATTTTCTTTTTAACAGGGAGAAACTAATAGACAGAATAACTAAGTGGTGACTAAAAGCTTGTCAAATCATGTGTCAAGAAATAATAAATATGAACTTAAATGATTCGGTAAAATAAATCGCATTGATCATAATGTTGGGAATCAGATTTCACGTCGTCCAGTGTTACACTGAATCGTCCCAGGTCCAATTCTAAACGTAGTGCGAAAAGAAACATCATAATTTTCATGCCCGTTTCCCCATTGCCTGGGGTAACGCCTGTGGGTCGACCGTAGACAGAGAAAGATTGTATTCGGGCTTAAAGTCTATCGGTGTAGAGTAAAAAAAATTCCCAAACACAGAAACCCCAAGAACAGTGTAAAACTTTCATGTATGAGACCGCACGCGTTACCATAGTGAATAAAAACAATGTTAGTCTCAAAATGGCCGAATTATTGAGTTGCCGAGACATTGCTTTTATTGCAACATAATAATCAACAGAAATGAGAATATGCATTTTGGACGGCATTTAAATTCTTAAATCATGGTAATTTAGTACCACCATTAATAAAACACCATTGAAAAACAATAGTTATTTATACATTATGACAACATAAGATTTACAATGAAAACTTTATCAGCAAATGATGTCAACTATTTGGCATTTTATTTTTCTAAAGCGTGCTGCATTTCATTCACAATATAAGCGATGGGGGCGTCAAATTAAAACAGTAGCTAAAGGGAGACATAAGTTTCATTAGTAATCTAAATTCCATCTGTCGTAACGTGATACATACTACATTTCTGCGTTTTAAACAGAAATGGTTCAGCACAGACGACACTCTAGTGACCTCTGAGCGTTTTAAATTAGATTTGATTGGATGATAAAAATCAACAGTTGAGCGTGAGAACAAGGAACAGGGAGAAAAGAAGCTTCTGTCTTCAAAAACATTTTTAGTGTACATGTATTAACCTCATTTCACTTGACTGTCCTAACACGTGGTCTTCAACGGTTGTCTGCTCTGTATTTGCATGGAGGTTATTTTAATGGCTTCACAGACCTTGGAAAGGAGTGGGCTTAGCTGTATTACATTCAAACATTCAAAAAGCTTTCTATGTACTGGGTAGATACAATATTTCAGATACAATAAAACTAAATGTCAACACTCAGCAGCATGAAATGATTTCAGACTCATCCGTTCAAAAAGCAATGGGTTTCAACGTCAAGTCAATAGAAGACTTCTCGCCTCAGTCATTTTGATAATAACGACTTGTAATTTTCATTTTCTGTATGGGATTATGAACTAACAGAAAATAATACCATTTGAGATAGAATTCAAAGTCTGATTAATACACAGTCTAAGGAAAGGTCAATGGCCTTATTTTGCCACCTTCTGTGCACAATTGTTCACTACTTCTCGCTGCCATGTAAATAATATGAAAAACAAACACTGGTTTATACACATCATTTGTACTTGTTGAAACGTCGTGCTATATGTGTATAAACCAGTGATTGTTTTACGTATAAATTGTGTTGTGATGTGTTTTTAATGTGCTCAATCGCTAAATGTCACTCAAGGATTAGCTTTCAGTTTGCCAGTCGAAAAAAAAGTTAGTCTTCACTGGGTTACCTCCCTTTAATCACATACTATTACACGAGTACGTCTCATAAAGATAAAAAAAAGGAAATGCATATAACTGATGCCCAAACGTCTATGGAAACATTAAATCATTATTTAAATTCGCAAATATTTCTAGATTTTTCTTTAGAAACTGTCTAGATATTAAAGAAAAACCCCGAAGCTGGTTGCATCTGGACTTCAACGGTTATGTAACGAAATGTAACGTTAAGCCCACACGACTTATCTTCCCCTGTTTTTCACATCAGTGAATTGATTTCACAGTGTGTTTTAACAGACAGCGTATCAGAACACCACAGACTGTCCGAAATATGATATAAAACAAAATCAGTAAAAGAAACCAATGAACACAAAACTCTCAGCTACCAGAAGCTCTTTCACCCTGTTGATGCAGACATAAAGCCCATTTCTTTTCATTTGTCATAAGATCTATTGTCGATGCATGTGTCGTTGTTTCAATTCCGCGCTTCTGTCTGTCAATAAGAAGTTGGTATCAGGCAAGCGAATTATTGTTAAAGATATACGATATCAGTTCTTGGTGCAGAGGACGTTAAAGCACCAACTTAACATTCTTGACACCTTTCTTGATATTTCTGGTTTAGGAATAGAAGTATACCAATATTCCAAAGCATAACATTTAATTTCCTGAACAATAAGACTACATTCCAAGGAATGTTAGCGAGTAAAATGGTGACTAAAATAACTTGGTAAACGATAAAATGACACGAAGGGAAATAACAATAAAACAAACAATAAATGTTTTATTTCTTCAGATCATTATTATTCAGCAATGGCAACAATATCCCTTGCCGTATAAGTAGAAAGAGAAATGCGTCTGGGAGATTTTCTTTAAAGTTAGGAAGTAATCTTCAATTATTTATTACATAAATACAATCTGGTATCAATCTAAGTTAAATCACGTTAGTTAGTCATGGTGGAAGTATGCCAAACCTTGTGTTTTAGTATTTTGTGTATAAATCATTTATTCTACATTGTGCACATGTACGACTGTAGTTCTGCGTGACCCATGAACCAAAATGGTATATTATTAAATCAATATTGTCTTGCACAAAAGCACGACGGACACCGTTAGCTATGTCAAATTACATTCTAAATACGAAGTGGTATGATGTGTTCTAGAAATTGCAAACGTCATGTTTCATGCATGACAACCAAAACCGTGCCTAGCAAATTGCCGAGATAGTTTGGACTGTGTGGCTTTTTGAGGCCATTGTACATCAAAATCCAGAGTTTCTACGGTGATCAGTTGTGAATTTATTATAATACCCGTCTTCATTAACCCGATGGGTGCTAAAAAAGTAGGACGTTAAACCAATTTTATTTATTATTAATACAGAGAGAGAGATAGATAGATGGGGAATAACGTCCACTCGACACAAACTAGGTCATTTCCGGACTAACATATGGTTTAATTTTATTTACATAATTCGCTTGCGCTTAGGGGTCTTTAGCAGTGGGAGGAAACCGGAGGACCCGGAGAAAACCCACGAGGTTGGACAGGCGACCCTACTCCTTGCCACGTTATTATTAATACATGATGCCTATCTTTCAATAAAAAATTTGTAACATTTTACCGTTCAGGTATGGTTCTGAGTCAACGTAAGCAGACAAACCAGCCCCCTTGTTTCAGTACTAAACGCAGACGACAGACATT